CCGCTAGCCGCCGCAACCAGTGCGTCTCTCTTTGTCGACGTTTCTTTCTTTCTTTCTTTCTTTCTTTCTTTCTTTCTTTCTTTCTTTCTTTCTTTCTTTCTTTCTTTCTTTCTCAGCGAGCAGCAGCAACCGTAGAAGGCAGGCAACGGTCGAGGAGGCCAGGAGAAGAACGTCCGTTCTCGAATGAAGCAAAGGGCGCGACCTCGAAACAAGGGGGAGCTAAGTCTTCCAGAGAGGGGGACCGCAAATCGTCGCCCGTCTAGGGCAGTATATTGTACGAGAGGACCGCAGCTTTTGAAGAACTCGTCGTTGCGGTCGCATGGCACGGAGGCGAAATTTCGGGGCAGCACCGTGCAGCTGCCTGCCAGCACTTTATCTGCCCCGACTCTACGGAGTTCTTTCTCTCTGGAAGAAGGTAAATACGCCGGAGGCGGCACGGGGTTTCGTCGTGGAGACTCGAAATCAGTTGGCGCTGCGGTGTTTCCCGGGGTTGTATACAGCACTCGGGGAAACTACAGTCCCACCGGAAAACGCCGCCTACACAGAGGACGAGGCTCTGTTTGCACGAACGCGATCGGGTTATGACCTGACCGGCCTAATCAAAAAAGCTCGCGTTCACAAGCATCATCTTCGCGTTAACAAGCATCATCTTCGAGTGGTTTGAACAGACAAAACCACATTGTCATAGGCACGTGAACAGGGGGAGCGACCCCCCGGGGACTCGCTCACTGGATTCGGCGCGACCAGTTGTGCTCCGCGACCTCCGACGACAGCGCAGCTCTGGCCGACTGGCTCGCCCTACGCCATCTCCTGACGCCGACAAGAGCTCTCGCCGAGTGGTGCCCCGTCCTCGGACTCCTGCGACCGCGTCGATCTGTCCCTGCACCTCGCTCTCTCCTTCCTCTCAACTCCATACATTTTAATTTTATCCTTTTAATCCCTCCTCCTTACCCTCGCCCTTCGTGAGCTACTGTTGAGGTGTCCTCCCCGTGAGAGACAGTAACGGGGCTTACTTTGTTCTTTTCATTTAAGAATCACTAACTACCCCCCCCCCCCTTTAATCTCCTAGGGGAGGGGGCGAGGTGGATGAATGAATATTTTGTTCAAACTGACATTCCGTAGGATAGAGCACAACTATTTCAGGACCCCACCGACTCGACCTGGTCCCAAGTTGCCCGCTGGCTTCCCAGGTCCTGCCGGGTGTGTCGCACCCACGTCCTTTCCCGTCCATCCGTAACAAACTGGCGCCTTTCACCCCTTCCACACGCAACCAATCTTTGCGAAGAATACAGCCCCGTTTGTAGTTCAGCACGCAGGATTAATTTAAGGTCAACGCCAGCCGAAAATCTCAAGAACTGCTAACGCCCCTTCGTTACCCGCGAAAAGACGGGGACCAGAGACAGACCACTGCAACAAGAACGTCATCCCTCCACTCATGCAACCATTCCGAAGCTTATCTTCTTTTGGGCTGGACAATAGAGGGAGGGGGTGTGCGATACAGTGAACGTTGTCTCCTCCCCCTCCTCCCTCCCTTCTACCGGAGAACCCTGCACCCGCCTATGCACACTGCAGAATCAGCTTCGACGACGCCCTGTGCTATCGCGCCAGCCGTACAAAAGTTCGCATGGCGGCAAATGGAGGACCACGCGCGCTCTAATCAGCAGGACCATAAAGTCTGCCCCAAAGTCCCCCCCTTCCTCGTAGGAAAGGCAAACATCGCCGGCACCTTGTCGTAAAGCAACACTGCCCTTCACTTTAGTGCGCGCAAAGGGACGCCGCAAATGACAACGGTGCCTCGCCAGTTGAACAGACCACGAAGAAGAACGATACGCCGCTGCGCTGCGCCCTTGTAAATAGCGCACTTCCGGGAGGGGGGGTCCCGTAACAGTCTAGTACCGTGGTCTGTGCGAGCAGGAACGCTCGCTTTATCACTCCAACGGAGGACGCCTCCGAAGTCGCCGGTAAAGCACGCCCACGTCTCGAGGAGGCTCGGGTGTGAACAAAACGCGCCGAGGCCCGCCACCGTTTTAGGAGCGAAGCTCCTTAAGGCGTGGGCTGTGCGTCCCCTGTATGTAGCCACCTCTCGTTCAGTTCTTGCAGTGTTCACTAGATGGCGGTACTTGTAGCTGACGGCATTAAGTATTACGCTAGCCACCGCCCGATCTAAAGGGTACAGCCATATCCATCCGTCCGTCCATCCATCCGTCCAAAAGATGCAAGATGTTATAAACTAGACGGCGGTACGTGTAGTTGATTATGAAAGATGCGAGGTGTTATAAAATAGGAATGATGCCACATATGGCGCGTGTCATCGTTCGATATAGTGCGGCGACGTACGCTAGGTGGAGCGTTGCAATAAAATCGAGTGGGCAAAATGTACGGAGGATTCATGGTTTACCAGGTTTACCTCCGGAGCTTCGCCCACTCATCATCATTCACTTCGTGGATATGGCGGCATTTTTTTCAATATTTCGTGTATTGGCTATTTGACGAATGGCGGTGCACTTAAAAAGACGTCCGGCGCTTATATACAACTCGACCTCACTCATTAAATCAGTTGTTTAATAGTCATTTCCCTTGCAAGTGAGTACCGAATCACAGCTTCACAAGCCAGCAGCGGCAAAACTCGGACGTACCGCACCGAGGCCCACGGAATGCCATCAGAATCAAAAGGGCACTAAATGTTTAAACTGATAAACCGCTATAGGCTCATTTGTTAGAATAAAAATAAATAAATAAAAATGTCAGAGCTCCATTCTCGAATATCGCAGTCAATTTTATTATTTTATATTCACATTATATTCAGAACTACGACTGCAAAACAATGCATTGTTATCGTTCACAACTCTTAATCGACATCAAGAAACAGATTAATCTACCGCTCACATTTATTTAAAAAAAAGCATTCACCTGAATGTGCATGTACAGGTTTTGCTTTTTTTTTTCTTTTTTTTTCACATGGTCCCATTATGAACGAGTTAGCCGACGGTGCGGGCTGGTCAATTTCTTCGTTCGCGGAGGGCCGGTTGTTCCGATCGATGATTCCGCATTAAAAATATTGTGGTATATCCATCCCACCATTTAACAACTTCAGCTCATGCAGGAGCCGGCAACATCGGAATGAGTGGGAATTCCGGCCTAAGTGCACAGTCCTCCCCCCCACCCCCTCTAGCGTATTATTATCGATTTTCTCCCGGTTCCTCTCAATGACAGCCTCTACGGTTGCGCTTCCGGCAAGGGAACACACACAAACGCTAAAAACATAGGTGACGCAGCCGAGGTGTTCGAGGAACCGCGGCAAGCAACGACCATGGTGTTCGGCCTTTCTCAAAAGCTTTACTCCCCGCACTTGCGAAACAACAAAATGCGTTGTTGCCCTTGGAAGAAAAAGAAGGTACATGCAATCACACTGCGCGCAAGAAAGGGACCGGCCGGCTTCCGCTCAAACACAAATTCCCAGCGTTCCACAAAAAACCGAACGATTTCGTGAGCAAGGAGAGGGGGGTGGAATGCTGGAACGAACTCGGAGGCAGTAGCTCGGCCGACAGCCGTCTACGTAGGCAGCAAAAAAAAAAAAAAAGAAACAATGACTGAACGATGAGAACCAACAAACTGCCGAAAAAAGAAAGGACTGGGGGATGTGACGAAGAAGGCAGGGGAAGACTTCATCATCCGCACCCCACAGACAGACACACACACGGGCAGAAAGGGAACCCCGTGTTGTCAAGAGACCCCGGGCAGAAGAGGAGGGGGGGGGGGGGGAGGTATCAACGCCGACGCCGAGCAGGCAGTCACCGTTGGCACCCCTCCTCTCCCAAAATTACGGGGTGCCCGTCGCCCCGCCAGCCATCCTCCCCCTCCGCCAAGAAGACGAGCGCACTTCCTCCAGGGCGGGATTGAAGTAGAAGGAGCGAGCGAGAAATGAAGAAAGAAGACAGCTACGCCGCCGCTGCGTCTGCCACGCGCACACGACGCGGATATATATTTTTCCCAGCTGTGCGGGCCACAGGGACCCGCGGCAGGGTTAGGACGAAGAAGTATCCAGCACGTCCACCACAGAGACACACACCCAGTGTAACCTCCTCCCTGCACACACCCAACGCAACTGACGCTGCACCCGGTTTTTTTTTTTTTTTTTTTCTACCGAGCAACGCGAATAGCCACCGCCAGGGAAGCTCAGGCCGGTCCACCGCCGCCTACACACACGAAATGATGACCCGCTACGAGGGAAGCCGCCAAAAACGGGTGTGCACCGCGTGATCGGGTGTAATCGTGCGCGTAGGAGTCAGTCTACCAGTACGAAGCAACAAAAATACGCTGGCCGCCACAGACGTGATCATGACATCCGTAATGGCTATCAGCAGCCTGCCCAGAGCACTTCCGTGAAGGAACGCAACACCGTTAAAATAGGTGCACCAAGAAAAAGACCCCCTGAAAGGAGCGCCCCTACTCAGAATGAAGTGATACTGGCTGTGACACCGATGCCTACAGGATAAACTGTCCGAATATCACCTGGGGTTTCACACCCCAAAACCAAAATATAATTATCAAAGACTCCATAGTGGTGGGCTCTGGAAATTCGGCCATCTGGTGTTTAACGTGCACTGACATGTTGCACCTCCATCGAAATTCGATCTCAATGGCCGGGTTCGAACCTACGACCTTTGAGTCGGCAGCCGAACACCAGAGCCCCTGTTCCACTCGGGCAAGCGAGGATTAACTGTCCTGAAAGGTGCTCGTTACGAAAGCTCTTGCACTGCTTCACTACTGTACGATGCCCTGTAAGTTGTTTACAGCCTTTCCTTTGGTAATGTGTAGTGTGCAAGAAACGGGCCTTACTTGCGTGTTTCACAACACTGCACTATAGTGCTTCAACAGTGCACAGAAGCAGCATATCACTGCGTAACTGCTTTTACCAAAGCACAGGCCCCACACTTTTTGATGTTCGCGTGGGACCGTTCATTCACTGGGAGAAACAACAGAAATGGGGATCGACTTACCTCATCAAGCTGCTTGGCTGCATCAAAGTTGTCAGTGGTGAACGGCAGCTCGTCATAGATTCCCTGCACAGAGAAGGGACACATGAGCAATCACAAGCCATTTTCAATGTACTTGATGGACGACCTGCCACAGACATGTCCGTTATGATGGTTGATCTATAAAAAGGCAGTTAAGAGTCACAATGAACAGCCCTTAATGCTTGTCACTCTGCTAGGAAGCAGACCAAGACATGGAGCTTACCACGCTTTGCATCAATGCCATTTGGACACTAAAGTGCAACAAATGCAAAGTGCCTATTCTTCAAATGATTTCCAAAGATGTGCACAAAGCACCTTCAGTATCTCAATGTAAGGAATCAATAAAGCACGGCCACCCGTAGGAAGGCCAGCAATTTCAACAATAATGAGAGCACAACATTTATTGTAACCAAACTTCAATAGAAGTAAAAATATTTCTGTCGAACACCTGTATGCGACCTATATACGTGCGTAGCAAGCGAGAGAAAACACGAAAAGAAAATACAGGTAGCGACACTACCACCCCAATCACTGTGACAGCATAAATTTCAATGGCACTTACTAGGTCCTACATAGTACCCAATCGATAAAAAAGAGGCACCTTTCCCTCTCACAGACATAATATTTCAAGCTTCAAAAATTTTTGTTAGACCAATGCAGCGAAAACACAGAAAGACAGTTTGAAATCTACGACGCCACAGTTGGAGATTTTGGCAGGCAACCTTGACAAAAAGTTTTCAGAGTGTAATTCATCATTTTAATGCAACCTATTGTTTTCCTTGCATTGAACATTGATTAAATGCATTGTGTTCTGAGGAGGGTGAGTCTGTCAAAGTTCACTGATTACACTCAAACAGAGGTTAGCATTGATGCAGAGAGGAGTCACACGAAAAATGCGCAAAGTACCACTAAATAATAAAGCGTGCTTAGAAAGAAATTTCATTATGATGACCCCAAAGTCAGATCAACACTTTTCTTGGCAAAGCTTCGGTACTTTATCACATACACGAGATTTCATGAAGAACAACTTTCCAATGACAAATCTGCATGTTGTAACATGACACGTTATGTAACTCATTTCCATGTGTTTTTCATTTATGCATATTAAAAAAGTTGCACCTGCTAAAGTGGCTGATGACCACAGTACGATCATAAGTAGCTGTGTGTATATAAACATAGAAGATGCAGGCAAACTTTGTTGTAACAATAAACACTGCAGATAGTAGGCAACAAACACGGGAGACTAAAACATGAACTTCAACAAATTGCATTGAGTAACTCGCAAACAATATTATGTAGTGTACTCTGCGTGAAAATGTGAGCAACCCAACACGCATTAGTACTACCAAGAAGAAAAAAAAAACACTATCCATAAGCTCACTTTGACTTTACCCACTGTCATCAAATCGATAGCTTAAAATAACTATGTAAACGGGGAAGCCAAGGTTCCACAGGAAGACTGAAATGGTTTTGTTTCATGCGGATTTGAACAATCAATGAAGCAAAATGGAAAGGCGACCTTGTTGGTACTTATGCATATTAATATATTAAAAGCAGATTGTGGATTAAAGGCATGTATTATTCATTAGGGATAGGGCATCTTTTTGCATGTCACCAATCATTGGCCACATATGCCGATTTTAATGTCCCAATACCACGATGCGATTCTGAGAGAGGACGTAGTGAAGGGCTCTGGAAATTTTTACCATCTGGTGTCCTTCAACATGAACTGACATCGCACGATACAAGCACCTCCACATTTCGCCTCCATTGAAATACGACCACCGTGGCTGGGATCAAACTCGTGCTTTTCAAGTCAGCGACCGAGAACCTTAGCCACTGATCCACCGCAGTGGACAGATATAAATATCTGCCAAAGAAGTGACGCTGCTCGAGGTCAAGGGATAGTTGGAGGGGAAGCACATGCCTATATCTCTTCTGCGTTCAGTTTGACTAATGGTGCACATGAGCAGGTCATTTGTGAGGATCGGGTTTTGGTACATCTTTGCCAATGATGCAATAAAGCCTTGAACTTTGAGTGTTCTTTCTTGCAATGTTGTGCCCTCTCATGTCCCTGTCTCATCAGCACTTTTAATACATAAGCATGATTTGTTAGACAGAATATTAATGTGAACTAATAGACAATAATGCCAAGGAAAGTATGGAGGATGCTATTGGAAGTGATTGTAATGTAAATGTGAAGAAATAAAAGTGGACAAAAAGATAACTTGTCACAGGCAAGTTAAACTTTTCGTCCATTCTTGTTTCTTCACATTCCACTTTTGCTTATTCATACTTACATTACAATTACATCCAATAACATCCCTTACACTTTCGCTGGCATTATTCTGTGTGTTAGTTCTTATTAACAGGTATAATCACTCAGTTCATTGAGAGCAATGTTGTAATGGGGAATATAATTTGAATCGATTCATTGGTTCCCCACTAAGTGTGTCCTCATAGTGAACTTGGTGACGGTTTGTATTTGAATGGCACGCGTTAAGATACCAGAGAGGCTTTTCTGGCAACTAAAGGCATGCTTGCGACAAGTGCGGCAAAGGAAGCATAACGTACATCCAGAAAAGACCCTACGGGAGCTACAAGTATGCTTGCAGTGCAAGGAACACTTTTAAAGACAAGCACAGGTATAAGAAATTGGATGAATAGTCTCTTCATGTCAACATTTGGCTTCGTGTTGCTTGTGTAGCCAAGATAACCCGCCAGCTAGCTGAAACATTCACCCGACACTTCTATGTACATGCCGCAGTCATTAAGATGCAGCTAATGCATGTAGCAAAAGTATGACCATGCTAAGCAAGCTACGGTGGAGCAATTCACCTGTAGTGAGCTCTGTTGCTGTAAGCTTCAGTAGTGAAGCATTCAACTTCAAGTGCAGTCGATGCATTAGAAACTGGTCGACGAAAGCTACATCGATGAAAGGCACAAGGAATGATGGGAAGGACACAGGAAAGAGTGTTTCTAGCCAGTCATGTGTGCCTTTCATTGGTATAGTTCTCCTCAACCAGTTCTGATCCGAGAAACGATTGGGTCCTTGCAGAGAAAATAACCCAGAAGACTGGACAGCAAGTCTCCTAGGTATGACCAGGCATGCTAAACCACAACAGTGAGAGCGGTGATAACGCTGTGATGACGTGGCATCTGAACAGTAACAAGTATTGTTTACAATTTCATACACAAGCACGACTGACCAAAGTTCAAAGCATGGGGTACGACTCAATGCACGATTGGTAGTTAGTTCAAATTAGCAAGGTGCTAATGACGCTCTAAAAGAAATGGTTCGCAACGCCATGATAGCACAAGCAATACTTCAGAACAACACACGACCTTTTGAGATAGGGACGCTAGCATGTGATTACGGTCCCCCTCATCACCTGCTCGTCCCTGAAATATTTTCTCTACCAGGCGCAGGTGGTCATTTGGGACGGCCAACGCTGTATCATCGCCAGCCTCTGACACATCAGTTCGGTCTCCTTCCTCTCAGAGACGTGCCAGGCAGGTTCTAACACGATTCGCGGTGGGCAAACATGCTTCTTTTTGTTCGCTCGGAGAGGCTGAAGAGGACGAGTCAATATCGCGCCGCTTTCTCCGATAAAGAAGCTGGCAATCCCATCAGCGCGCACACTGTGCCAACATCCCCCCCTCCCCCAATTAAAGATCCGCCTGTGGCGATACAGCGCGACTTGCGAGACCCTTTAAACGGCGACAACGAAAAAAAAAAGAAGAGAGAAAGTGTGTGTGTTCCACGAAGGCAGGTTGAAAAAATAAGCACCAAGTAAGACCGCAAACGACGAGAAACGCGACATCTGAAAAAAAAAAAAAAATCGCGGAACGCTGCAGCGTTCGTACTGCTGAGAACCGCGGAAACTTCGCTATAGAGATAACTTCGTTATATCGAAAGCGGTCGACTCGCCGCCACCACTAAAGCCGAGTAGAAAAGCGCAGTAAGCGGGGGCAGCGACTCGCCACATCGGTAGTTTCAGTAATACAAAACTGAACCCCGTTCGATGCTAAACAACACCGTTATACCGGGAAAAGAGACTCGGGTTTAACTGATAGCTTGCTCTCTCACATACCCAAGAGGGTTCTAGGGATAAAATAAAATTGACGGTGGGCAGATGTCGGCGAAAAGTTTATTCGGAAAGGACCTGTTCGACGTGAGAAGCTACGATCCCGGTTATAATCGGGTCATTCCGCAAAAAGCTCGCACATCCGACGTGCCCAGTAGGGTCATTTCCGAAAGCGGACGACTCGAGGCACGTAAAACATTTGAAGCGCGACATGGGGAATGTAACGAAAAAAAAAAAGCGAAACAAATTCACGTGGCTACAGGCACGTGTGCGGTAAGTAGTGCGAAAACGTGACTGCACACACAGAAGCGGCCTCGGCTTTCCAATCAATAAGTGCCACATTGGGGAACACGGGAGAGCGAGAGAGAGAGAAAAAAAAAGTCGCCGGAAAAAAGAACAGCCGAGCAACGAAGACCTATGAGAAGTAAAAGAGAAATATGAGAGGATCGTCGCAGCATCCGCACCGGGAACGGTAATCGACTCCATCCCAGGAAATAGCCGGCGCCGCTTGTCAGGCACCCAAGTGCGCACAGCAACCGTCGCACCGGTAAACGAAAGCAGCAGAAGGCGATCGCTCATTTTTACCTAACAAGATCGCCCGTGTACAGTATCTTCCAGAAAAAAATCCAACCGTGCGTTTTGTGTACGGAAGTTGGCAGTTCAAGGCGTCTAAACGTTCTGCTTGTGCGTCGCTTCCCGAAACCAAAATCTTGGCACCGCGCAACGACTGCACCGTCTCGCGCCCCGAAACAAGTGTCGCTCACCTGCATAGCGGTGACTCCCAGCTCCTCGTTGCTGATCTTGCGAAGGTGAGATCCGAGCGAACGCGCTTCCACTTGCAGGTATATGCTGTCCGCGATCGCATCTTGCCGGTCCGAAGTGGCACTTTCGGCCGCCGAGGCGAGCGACGACGCCGAGGACTCCTTGGCGAGCGACGCGAGAAACAAGTTGCTCTTGAGAAACTCGTGCACGCCCGAGCGGTTCGCAAACTTGCCAATGTTCCCGAACAGTTTTATGGAGGGCTTCGGGGCGTCGCCGCCAGCGGCACACCGCACACCACAGTCGAGACACAGGACGGCGAAAACGAGAGCGGAGATCCTCCGGAGGTCCCGAAATTCGGAAGAGCCAGCCGCCATGTTCCTCCTCTTTGCGGGGGTCAACAAACACACACGCACCGCACTACCGCCGTCGCCGCGCCCGGGCAAGCACTCGGCTCAGACGTTTGAAGAGCCGCGGAATCGACGACTTTCGTCACGTCGCTGTAGCCGATTCATGGTGCCGGCACCGACAAGGCCACCGCGGCGGCTCCACAAACGCAGCCTGCCCACCACAACAACACAAGATCACACAAGCCGCCCGACTGCCGCATGTCCGACACCTTGCGTCCGATGGCGTCTGCCATTAATGGGCGGCGAAGGAAAAGAAGTAACGGGATTGGCCTGCAATAACTCTTCAAATTTAAAACTTTTGACACACAAAAGTTCTTCAATTAATTAAAAACATTTATTTTTGTGTTAATCCATGTAGTTAAAACTTATTTATTATTAGAAAAAATTTACAAAATATTTATTTGCTGCAGAACTGTGATTCAAAATGGCGGCGCCCATGAGAGCAGTAAACATAGAACAGAAAGCACAAGTTCGCGACTAGGCCGGCGATGATGCTAGGACAGCATGATTTCCCTGGCTAATAAATATCTGACGCGTATAAATTACCGTGTCATTCGACATGCGTCCCTGCCTGCCAATGCCTCTATTTCGCTCGGAGAACGCTTGAGGTCGGAGCGACGGCGGTTCTGCACGGGCAACTGTGAGCACAAACACTCGCGTAGTTTCCCAACCTTTCAACTTCGCACCCGGGAAGTTTCGATGCGTGATTAATCCTGTCTGTGTGCATCTGCGTTTTCAGCTTTTCAGTGCGAGGTGCGCTACGAATGGAAAAATCCCAAATCTGACGACGAAGTGTGAGTAGTACGATGCGATTGCCTCACTGTACTTTCTGTTACTGTTGATATGTGCGGTACTTACTGTTCACGCTCCGCAGGGTCAATATCACTTACGTTAAAAAAGATGGATCGAAAGTGGCGGTACGGGGCAAAGTTGGCGACAACCTGTTGTACTTGGCTCACCGCTATGGCATCGAGATGGAAGGTACGGACACCGGTCATGGGCCGAAATGAAGTTTACGTTCCACAATGTGCAGAGTCTGCTCGTAAAGTAATACGACTGAGTCCGGGCTGAGTCTGGACGCACAAGGATTGAGTCATCTCTTAGGTATTTAACCTTCGGGCGAAAATGCGCCGCTTGCAACGATATTCCGTGCTGAAAAAGCTTCGTAACAATACGCTACTCTGACTTCATTTAGAGACACGGTAATAACCCATTGTATGGCTGGATAACCGTCGAAGCGGTGAATTTACGGGCTCCTCTTGAGCCTTGGGCATTAGCCTGCGCGAGGAGGGGGGAGGGCAATGCCAGCCGCATACATCGACATAATTAAAAGGGCGCTGCCACGCAGCCTGCCCCCCCCCCCCCCCCCCCCCCAAGAAGATTCCTGCAGCACACCCTTATGGCTTTGGGGAAAAAAAAAAACTCTGCCAGGCTCACATCAGGGCTGCATCAGCTTTAACGCGACGTCGGCGTTATATATTTTTGATGGTGTTCCTGCCATCCTAAGGGATATCGCAGTATCTTTGAATGAAGTCGCAACAGGTGATATTAGGGAGCATTTGCAGGGTAGAATTGTGTTGCAAGTGGGGCATCAATGTCCGAGGAAACTGTATTGAATAATGTCGTGTATCGACGAGATCAATCATTTACCAGACCGAGTCTGATTACCTTACGAACACATCTAGTGAATGTGCTCCATCCCCGCATTGTCTGCGTACTGTGCGAGGAGGCAGACAATAACATTGTAACAGAACCTGTAAACGCAGGCATTGTTTCTTATCATCGCAGGCGCTTGCGAGGCTTCTCTAGCGTGCACGACTTGTCATGTCTACGTTGGGGAGGATTACTACGACAAGCTGCCTGAACCCGATGAAAAGTAACGCACCAGTCGTTTTTATTTTCAGACTGCGCGTAAACAAAATACAAAAACAAATACATTTTTTTTTGTTGTCTTCAGAGAGGACGACCTTTTGGATCTGGCGCCCTTCCTCAAAGAGAACTCCAGGCTCGGTAAGGAGGCTTCGTAAATTTATAAATAGTTTTATGAAAATAGACTTTATTAATAGTAGATGCCATCTTAGTCACTGGTGACCTTTGGTTATGTTTACGATAGCATGCAGGAGTATACTGTACCAGAAGGTTATTTGTTGAGTGTGGACGCTATTTCTGTATATATAGTATGTGCATGTGTTTGTATACATATAATATACACAAATTAGGGGGGGGGGGGATTGAGTACTCGCTCCCACCTTGGTTCGGCTACGCTACTGCTAGCACATATGGCAGCTGTACGATAGGGACATCACGTGCCGATAAAAATTAATAGGGATGATCCTTAATTAATAGGGAGAAACGCAGCAACCATCAATGCTGATGCCACCATGTTTGGGTACGAACGCAGATTAAACCTTCTTACGCAATGTCACGTAAGCATTAGGCGTGTGACCTATATTAAAGTTGGAAAAAAAGATGTGAAAATTTGCGTCTCGTTTTTTTAAAACTCCTACATTTCAGTTATAGAGAAAAAGGGATTGTGTCGGAAAAAAGACATTATGTCTCGTATAAGTTACAGTTCTCCGGAGTTATTGGCGTTAGAGTTAAAACAAAGCTTATTCAAAATCTATTATTTGGCAGAACACTGTAGACAATGTGGTGCTTTTTTGTTGCAGCTAGGTGCAAATCACAAACATGAGTAGTACTACTAAATTAAATGCAATAGTTAAATGCGCAAGTTCTGCATTGCGCGATACATTTGTAATCAGAATTTTTCCGTATGTGACGAATGTAAAGTCATGTACACACCTGACAACAAATGCTGCTAACAATGAGAGCAAGGAAAGTTTGTTTTCAAGCATGGTGATTTGCTGTACGTGCGCGCATTCCACGTGCATGGACTACTGTATGGCATGGTCCATTGACAGCCGCTTAGGCGGCGCATTTCTTATCGTGCAGCTCCTTTTACCTATTAAGCAGCACAGAAATGAGCACGGTTGGGCAATAATAGATATACCCTAATTTTAGGGACTAATTATGGTGCACACAACAGTATCAGGCTATGTGACTTCGTACATCAAAATAATTGATTCCGTAATCAATCTTCAAGGCTCTTCTGCTCGGCTGCGCGACATACTGGATTTCGCTGCCTTTAAACATGATTTAGAAGTAAACCTACCTAGCTTGCAAAAAGAATGCTTGGATCTATCACTGTAATTAGCAATATTTTCATTTCCACAAGGATTTAATGACGTGTTTCGGCCAGTTGTCGGTCCCTTCAGGAATCAAAGAAGACAATATTGATAACAAGGGTTGGAATTGTACAACACTAACCATCTTGTAGTTGATATTTACAACTTGAGAAAAAAAATGTCAGCTCTGTCCACAGAAACACAGTCCTTCATTTGTGAAAGAGGGTAGTGCTAGCAAGTTTCTGCTCAAACTCCAAGTACTTTTCATTGGCTTATGTAAATACTACGCATATTACCAGCCACAGGTCTGTCAATACTACCTGGAACATTGCGTTTTGCTGAGCAGCGATGCCAGAATCCCTGGCAGAATTCACAAAGAAGTTGAAGTCTCAAGCCTAAAATCGGCAACATAAATGTGGGGTCTTTTGGCTATCTGAAAGAGTCAAGAAGTGCTCGACATAACAATAGTTTGTAAGCTGTTGGACGCAACACCTACGCACGTAGTGATGGCTATCTGCAGAGCTGTCACTTTCTCGTTAAATTGTAACTGTGCTGGCCTCGCTGTAATAACTTTTGTCAAACAGAATCAGAAAAAGCGTTTTGCTAGATAATGGGTCATATGCAATTATCCCTAAACCAAAATGCAATTATCCCTAAACCAAAACATTGTAATTATGTTACTGAGCTAATAAGGATTACAAAGCAATGGATTAACAAGTTGATGGGGCACTCGACACGGTAAAAAAGCGGTGCGAATTCTCGGACACACAAAGATGGACCGAGGCGTGAAGTCCTGGCCCTCTTCGTGCCCGGCACCAGAAGGAGGAGTCGTGGCTTCGCGCGCGGCGTCACCACGCACGCGTGCAAGGCCTCGCCTCAATGTCCTCGTAACCATTAGCGACCGAAGGCACTGATACTGCTTTTCAAGAACGACGCCGCACTGCACACTCAAAGCCTCGAAACTGTTCAATAGGCAGTCAGTGCTTCCAACACTGTGCGCTCTGCACGCAGAATAGTAACCACATGTCAGCTGAAGTCTAGATATAACGAACCCAGATGTAAGGAAGACTAGTCTTGCATTAGCTTTAATGCTAAGACTATACCTTTATAGTGCATTTTTGGATATAACAAACTTGCTTTCGCGTATGATGCAATTTTGTTATAATGAAGTTTGAGTGTGGCAGTTAATTATTTAGCCAATGTCCATAGTACGCAGGTATACACAATATCTGAAAACACTGCTGCTCGTACAAGAAATATCATTTGGGGATGTGCCAACATGTGCTCTCGAAAATAAAAAGAACAATTGCAGACATTGATTGTTTATTATTTACAGGCTGCCAGATTATACTGACCAAGGACTTGGAAGGAATGGAGGTGACGTTGCCGCAGGCGACACGCAACTTCTACGTTGATGGCCACGTGCCCCAGCCACACTAAGACCGCGAGCTCCTGCTTCTCCGCGTAGTGTAATTTCATGATTGTACAGATTCTGTTTTAGTGATTAAAAGCATGTGCAGTTCATTTTTTGTAAGAGGCATCATCACTATAGGTACAAGCTAGCTGCAAACACAATGTCCCTCTTCATGTGCTTGATTGCTGAAAAACACACAATGCAATTGCGTGAGAAGTAGAAAACACAGATATAACAAAATAATGGTTAAAGCAAGTAAATTAGGAATAGTATTGCAACAGATACAGTGTTAGGAATATACCCATATAATGAACTTTTGAAAATAATGCACTTCTTTTCGTGTCAGATGCAACTTCATTATAGTTAGGTTTGTTTATCTGTACAATACAGTGCAGTTTCTCTTCTTTAAGTTTTCAAATGCCTGAAATATGTGTTACACTACGTTTGATAGCTAAAGATTATTTATTTAGGCAGAGCAAATGCAAAGCTTGTGGTAGTGTTTTTTTTATAATATCTACTGCAGTGAGCTTTCAGATGTTCCCAGGTCAGTAAACTGCTCATCTTTTAAATATCGCTTTTTAATTCTTACACAATTTTTTTAAACAAAAGTACTCTTTACAACCAGATATACAGGTGGGCAAGTTATTTTTTTTTTATGTTTAAACGTTTCTGAGAATATAAAGGGTGTTTTTGAGTACATATATACACAACAAAACACTTGTGTGTTCATATTGCACATTTATGCTAGAACATCGCTGGTCCTGCTGGCCAACTGTGACACAAAAAACCACACGCTTTGTTGAAGTAGAAGGACTACGACGCTGTGAGGTCCAAATGAGCACACCAGGCACCGAGAGAAAAGCGCACTCTTGAATTTTCGCCTTTTATACAGGATGCCATGCTAGGCTTTGCCTACATTGTCTTTCTCTCAGCATGTCTAGCTCTACTAGTTTGGTCCTATGCAACGTGTTGGTACTGTAATATCTCATACAATACAACATATACTGTGTAAAACATGCTGTTTTTCATCTTGATTCCTCTATGCTGTTCAGCAATGTAGTTTTTATCAAGAAGCCCAAGTTTTTTACCTCTAGGAATGCCATCGGCTAAACTCGAGCATTTATAATGAATGTCTTAGTTGCTTAATTTTTCCTCTGTTGTATACAAGGACTACATACACAGCCAAACCCGGATATACGAAATCTCAAAGGGGTTACAAAATAAAGATCTAGTTATAACTAATTCAATATCTAAAATAAATATTTCAAAGAGATATTACAACATTCCTATATACGCAATAATTCTTTAAATATGTGCACTCGACATGTGCAGGTTCAACTGTATAGCCTTCAAAGCAGAGCTGTCGTGGCAATGTTTTTTGAGCTAAAGAGAACAAACAGATCGACATAGTTTTCTCTACTGCATGATTAGGATATTGCAAAATACAACTTGGAATGGAGGAATGATGCCGAGCAACAGAACCTGTCAAATCGCACATTCTGTAACATACATACACCAACCTGGCTGCAAAGAAGTGAAGTAAAAAAACATAATTTTCTTTATCGATTACGCATGGAAAGTGCGACACTTACCTTCGGAAAACTTGTTTTCCAGTTCTGTGTTTCCTATGCACTTTGCAGCCTGAACTATCTGCCGCAACAGTTCCTCCAGCCGTCGCATGCACCTGATTATGCTGCCTGAAAGGTAACGCACGAAGTTTCACAGGAAAATTGGTCGGCTTACAGACATGACACCATTTGTCAACTAATTGTGTCATCATTCATCAAGTGGTGACCGCTTGTCACCACTTGCAGAAGCACACGCACACTTTTAATACTTGTAGTTGGGTTTTGTAAGAGCAGGAAGTTGCCGTGCTGAAAAGGACAAGATCGATTGACTAAATGCTGGCTCCAGTGACACTCCCCGTTCGACAACTTTTCATCACAGTAAAGCAACAGAGTAGATTCTTGGCGGTTCAAACTTTCAGTTGATTCAAAGAAATCATACATTTTTGGTTGCCCCGCCATGTTTTTGATCTATTTCAAGGCCACCTAGTACAAATCGCCTCACAACACCAATTCGAATAATTCAAACTTCTTGCTGGTTCATGCAAGGAAATGACTGCTGCCTCTGTAGTTTCTATATGAACATTCACATTATTATATCACTAAGTCGTATATAAAGCCAACTGTCTACGTACAAAATGGCCAAACTCACCAAACCTTGTGTACCAACAATTGCATACTCAATTAGGAAGGGAAAAAAAGTGCACAGGCATGGTCTAGATTTACGACATGTCTAACGCCTCTCGAAGTTACCTTCCCCGTAGTACACTAATGCAGGAAAGCGTTCTAATATAGGGAACAGGCTATCAGATGTCTAAGACAGACCTGTTCGTTTTTTAGACACGCATTTTATACTAATGAGTACCAGTATAATCGCTCATGTTTATAAGTTTTATTGGCAATCACACAGAGCTTGTCTATGATGTCGCTGCGGCACTGAAAAGCAATAAACATCCTAATGCCAGTTGTTAAGTTGCCCAGAGTCACAAAATATGAGAACTTGGGATAATTCAAACAAAATCCAGAGATCTCTTTCGTCAATTTTAAACTATCGGAAGTTAAAAAAATTGGTCCCGTATCTGCATGTTACACTGCAAATGTCGTCGAAAGACGATAGTCTTGTGTCTGGAGAGAGTGAACAAAACGTTTATTTGATGTTCTGCGCAAGAAAATTGGGAATGGTATTCTGGAGGCGCTGCGTTAGAGAGCCTCGAGCGTGCAGCGGAGGCGAACGAGCGTATTAAGTCACGTCAATCGTGAGACATAAGCGCTATTTGGCAGTCGTCGTGGAAAACGAAGCGCGCACGCCCTGCGCGCCAGTTTCGGAGCTGATAAAGTGTAGAACGAAAGGCGACGAATAGGTGCCACCACCGTGTCGTTTTAGCAAAGCATTGGAAACACTTTTTCGTGCAAGCGTTGCCTGGTCAGCGCAGAGTGATAAACGCTATGGTTCTTATAATTACTTATGTGAGCTTTTTAGTAAGAGACACACATACAGAATATTGACGTGTTGTTATGGTGCCTCAGATATGTGCAATATTTGGTTTTTAACTGACAATCACACAAGTATGAGCGCTGAATCTTGAGCAATATTGGTGGACGCTGAGGATGGGGTCAGCCATATTGAGTATCGTTTGGCCACTTTGGTGTCGTTTAGGGCATTATTAAGGGCAGACAAACAGACAAGTGTACAGGCAGACAGACCAAACTATTTGCGCCGAAGGTCGCCAAGAAAGACTATCGTCTTTAAAAAAAAAAAAATATCAGTGCCGCAAGTGCTAACCTTCATAGACATCCGTCATGCGGCAGACGTGCGCGAAGGAGGCCCCTTTGCTCCAGGCGTACATGACGTCCATTAGGTGTGGCTTGAACGAGTTGACGTAGGTGTCTTCGTCTACGCACAGCTTGGCATCCTTGGTGACCCGTGCTATCCTCCGCGCTATGTCCTGTGTTAGAAACAATGGAACTCCCATGTTTTGGGACTTTCGCACCAGTGAAGCACGGGAAGCTCGCACGCCACACATCTGGACAGACCTCCGGGCCGTTGGTGGTCAGCGTGCGGGTGCTTTTCCGTAAGCAGCTTGGAGAAAGCTTGCGGGAATACTCAACATTTTTTTCAATATTCATGAGTGTTTTTTTATGGGCTTGAATTTATTTACTAGACAAAAATTAAAGTGAACGGTACTTCAAAACACAATTTGGTTTGCATGTCTTCTAGCCAAGACAACGCACTAGTTTCTGCCACACTTTCAGGTCTGTGAAAGCTAGGAAGTGCCAAAACTAGACCTAACTCAGTGTTATTTTCATTGCAATAAATATTGTGTACCTTGAAAGAATGCGTAAATTTGACCCATGAGCAGACAGAGTTTCATGTATTGCACATCAAAGGTTTAATATGAACATGAGCACTGCCTAGCCGCACCAGTAATTTGACTAATGAGTGCTTGTGGTTCTGTATTTAGGTAAATTTTGTTTATGTGTCTTTAGGAGTGCTACATTATGCTTGTGCAGTCAATAAGCGATTTTTCACCACATATTATACTACCAGAAGTGTATGAATCTTGGTTCATGTAAAACCAACATACTAAATGTCCCAAGTACCTTGGACTGCGATTTTAAAGAAGGGTGTGCTTTAGGAAAGTTGTGCATGCTGTACATAAGTGGTCAGCGTGCGGGTGCTTTTCCGTAAGCAGCTGCGAGAAAGCTTGCGGGAATACTCAACATTTTTTTTAGTATTAATGAGTTTCTTTATTGGCTTGAATTTATTTACAAGACAAAAATTAAAGTGAACAGTACTTCAAAACACAATTTGGTTTGCATGTCTTCTAGCCAAGACAACGCACTAGTTTCTGCCACACTTTCAGGTCTGTGAAAGCTAGGAAGTGCCAAAACTAGACCTAACCAGAATGCTGCATGACAAAAGAAATCTTGTCCAAGGTAAGTTTCTGTGGTGCCTTACAACCTTGAGTTTCTGATGAATAACATAAGTGCTCATTAATTATTTAACCAGCTTCTTAATGCTTGCTTCAATCGATGAGTTAGTAGAATAGCTGCCTGAAATAGCCTCTGAATCAAGAGTTTATCTTGTGCCGAAATCTGCGTGGTTATTTTTTTTTTTGGAGAAAATCAAAAGTGCGTTAGACATGCCAATTATAAAGAAGACAAGCACATGATTAGTACATATGACTACCACTAATATATACCTGCTACAGCTTCCATAGAATTTTATATTTTAAATCTTGGTCCGAGTTAGCTGGGACAGCCAGTGTACAGTAGCAACTATAATTTGCTACTGCTGACAATTCTACGTCCTTTAATTGATACTGGGATGCTTTTTGTAATGGAAATTTCCTTTCTGTACCTGACTTAAGCAAGAAACAATGCTGAGAGCATTGTTGCATGTGCAAGAAGTGGTTCCACAGACCTGCATCTGTCGCAGCGGGCCAGACAGCTCTTCAGTGAGGTTGGGCATCTCGTTCGACTTCTCCTGAAAGACCAGGCAACTCAACAAGGCCGTAGCCTGGTGTGCGTTGAGCTCGTTGAACATGTTGTTGAAGATCATCTCCGTCACAAGCAGCTCATCGGCACTGAGCAGCAAAGGGAAAGTTCAAGAATAGGCGCTGAGGCAAAACTAAAACAACATAACAAAATCTTTAGGATGTCATCGAGTTGCACAAGATATGTAATGCCGATGTGAAGTAGCATATTAAAAACTGATACTCAATTCTTTGAGGTCCATTGAATGAACCTATAGTCGGGCAACTAAGCTATGCAGTTCATTATCATCGGCCTGACTACACCCGCTGAAGGGCAAAGGCAGTCTACCATGATCCGCCCATCAACCTGGTCTTGTGCTTTCTGCTGCCACGTTATATCTGCGAACATTTTAGTCTTATCGACCACCTAACTTTCTGTCTCCCTTTCATGTGTTTGCCTTCTCTGGGAACCCAGTCAGTTAGCCTTAATGACCAGCCGTTATCCTGCCTACGTGCTACGTGCCCGGCCCATGTCCATTTCTTCTTCTTGATTTCAACTATGATATCCTTAACCCCGGTTTGTTCCCTGACCCACTCTGCTCTCTTCTTGTCCCTTAAGGCTACACCTATCATTTTCCTTTCCATCGCTTGCTGCATCGTTTTTAATTTAAGCTGAACACTCTTTGTAAGCCTCCAGGTTTCTACTCCGTAGGTAAGTACCGGTAAGATGCAGCTGTTATATACGTTCCTCCTGGGGGTTAGTGGCAGATTACCATTCCTGACGCGAGAATTCTTGCTGAATGTGATCATAGTTCAAGCTATCTCAAAAATCTATTCTCTAATCTGTGACGAAATTGTAAAGCTAGGCTTGAGGCACATACACTGTTTAAAAAAGCATTCCTCCCGTTATATCCAAATCATTCTGTTTTGTGCCAAGCAAATTTTCTCATTTCACTACATCTTTGCTATCTTTGCTTTGCTATCCCCGAGTTCACGCCCCTTCCCTCGATGCATACACCCCTCGGGTAGACCAAAGGACATCTGGCCTGTGCAATTTATAACCTGCTTGGCTCTCAGATTTATTTCATCACTTGTTGCGTGGTTCATTCCCAAGATTTTTATTAAAGAAAATTCAACTACTCACATTTTTGAATGACTGCAAGCTTTTCTAAGCTGCCAGTGATGAATTGGTTAATGCCTGCTGTATACTATGCTCACTTCAACAAATTTTCACCTTAATCTATATTTCCCCGTCAGGAGGCACACTGCCTGCATAGATACTGTATTTCTGCACATATTCTATAGGCTGTTTAACAATTACTAAATCTCGTTTCCTCGCTTTACTAACAAACATTAGTTTATTCTTTCACATACTAAATTTCAAAAGCACTTCTCCACTCTACCTTCCAAAGTTTGCAATCTTGTGTTGAAAATCAACTCTATCACTGCTATGCAATGGTTTTAGTAATCGAGTCAAAGCGCCAAGGCGATCATTTACACATTCGGAGATAGTACTAAAAGATTGCATCGGTCCACACAGGGTTGGTTGCGGCACACACATATGCATCTGACAGCAAGATTGGAGGACAGCAACTGCAAGGGGCAGTGCTTCCATTCTCTTCCTTGTATGCTAGGCAAAGAACAGACGGAGACACTGTTCCGACAGAATGGATACAGAACAGTCTCCGGACCACATGGATTGGATCAGAATGTAAGTACTTAAGCGAGGGAAGCAAATTGGCCTGCCTTGTGTCTTCCAATCTCATGCCGACAATTTGCAAGAATGACTACCAGTGCCACGAATGTCTCGTGAAGTTGCAACACCATCTAGCACCCAATTAAGAAATCAACACGAATAGATTATTGAAGTTATCATGCATTTCGATTTCAAGTTTTGAATAACAATGCATTTGAATATTTATGTTCAGTCATAACACTTGTATATTTCTTCATGCATTGAAAACATTTCTAAATCTATTATATGGTCTCCCAAAAGACAATAGGAACATGACGCATTCTTCTGAGGCACTCCACCTTCGCTGGTTGGCTATTTGCTCCTCTCATACCATCATGACGTGTTCCATTCTATCGTAGAACGTGTAGAAAACAGCGCCCCGGTGAGTATGAAGACAAGCGAAGGAACACCGTCTTTCTCAAATGGCTAAATAAAGTTGAACAACACGTGAATTTGTTGAGTACAAAAAGAAAAAGCCCACCTGCTGACTTCACAGGCGACCTTGCCCTTGATCTCCATGACATCGGAGGCCGTGGCATAGCCGAGCCGCCGGAGAACCCGCTTGCGGCACTTGAGTTCCTCCATCTGGAGCAGTGCCTTGGCCTTCTTGATCTCGTTCTTGACCTCCCTGATCTCCTGTGCAACCTGCGCACGCAAGGATCGATAAGCCAACGTAATTTATTTATTTATCTTCATAACCTCAGGGCTCGAAAGCATTACAGAGAGGAGTAATTGAACAATATGTTTTTAATTGAAGCTTTGAAGGCGGCAGGTTCTTTGATGATCATGAATAATCAATGAATAAAGCGAAAAACCACAATACACTGATATCTGGAAGGTTGCTTTTATAGCTTCTTTGATTTTGTTACTAGGTGCTCGATTCATAAGGCCTGTTCGCAACTGCTGTGTTGGCACTATCGATTCAGTCATTTCTCATCAGCACCCATCTTAGAGCAAAACCTCACCGACAGATCAATCAATGACTTAATTCCTTTTCCCAAACCTAGTTTTTTGGGCATTTGCGATTACCTATGTAGGTACTTGCATGCACAGTGCAACCCACTGAAATATTAGTTGCCATTACACGACTCACTATTTTGCCATCTCCTGCCCACAGGCTTGCTGAGTGTCACTAAGTCTTGGTTTAAGAAGCCTTTTTTTAGGGGCGAAGCTCCTTAAGGTGTGGGCTGTGCGTCCCCTGTATGTAGCCGCCTCTCGTTTAGTTATTGCAGTGTTCACTAGATGTAAGTACTTGTAGCTGACGATGAAAAGATGCAAGATGTCATAAACTAGACGGCGGTACTTGTAGCTGATGATGAAAGATGCGAGATGTTATAAAATAGGAATGATGTCACATATGGTGCGTGTCATTGGTGGAAGGCAATCGTTCGATTTAGCGCGCGACGTATGCTAGGGGGAGCGTTGTAATAAAATCGAGTGGACAAAATGTACGGAGGGTTCATGGTTTACCAGATTTACCTCTGGAGCTTCGCCCACTCATCATCATTCACTTCGTGGATATGGCGGTACTTTTTTTTTAAACTTTACAATGGCAGGCACTAGAGGTGGGATATAAGGGAAGGAGGGAGGAGGGGGGGGGGCTGCAGAAACGTTAGGATTGTGGAAACTGAACAGATTAAAACTGTAATGCTTGATTTAGTTAGAAAGAGCTGAAACAATCTTTATAACTCGTCTTTCCTTAGCATAACAGAAAAACAGAAAGCATGCTCTCACCTTCATTTTTTTCTCGTATTCCGCATAAATATTTGGAAGGTCAGGATGCGAATGCATAGGATGAGCGTACATCCGGTTCTCGAATGCCTCGATTTTCTGAAAAGCAGGAAGACAAGCGAGGTTACCGAACCGCAACCGTCCCAGTTGCTAGGGGACGAGCACCAGTCAAGAAACGAGAAGCCAAAAGGTGTGCCCCCCACCTTGACAACTTCCTTCATGTTCGCATCCTTTATTTTGAGGTCCTCAAAGGGGTCGACAAGTGGGACGCCTTTTGGAAACCTATCTTCAACCTCCTGGAAAAGGAAGTAATAGATAAGAAAAATTCTACCCACTTGCGCACCAAGAAAGCCATAGAGCGTGGCAGCTGTCGTCCCTTAAAGGCGGACGAGAGTCCTAAAATAGCACGAAATTGTAAAAAATGCTGACTTTCGAAAATTGCAATTTGAAGTATTTATAGTCGAAATTATGTTTTGAAAAAATTTTATACTATGGCAAAGTACCCTTTCTTTTTGTTAAAAGCTTAATATATTGAATTGCAAATGTTTTAAAAACTGGAAACATAATTTACTTGGCATGGTTATTTTTGTGAAGTGAATCTCCTTACGGAATTTTTAAATAAGTTTCTGTGAAGATATCTTAACAAACTTAGTACCATTCTTTTCCGCAGCATTTGAACTACAGGATGAAGCTTTTCTTTTTCTCTTAACCTTGATGGAATTGTATTTATATGACAAATAACAGCTAATTACTGGAAGCTCATTTCTACTTTCCAAACTTAATAATTATTGCTGACCAAAGAAATAGCTATTCTGACATATAGTTTGCTTTATTCTGTGGGATGAACCTTTGATAAGAAACGTGTAATTTTGAAAACCAACTTCATTTATTGCAAGCTACCGTAACGACTCGTCAGAAATTACCTAATTATAATGCAGAAATTTGTCGTTGCTTTTTTCTAAATGAGATATTTGAAATCTGTTTGCAGGTTTGAAATTTTCATGACAGTAGGATGATAGCAAAAAAACTTTTTTTAAGACCACAATACAATTTGCTCCTACGTTGTGGCAAAGTTTCCACGAGCATCATCATCATGTCAAGTGTCATCGTAATCATTAGGTTTTATTCATTTGGCGAAAAGCCTAATCATCGTCATCATTTTTCGACAGGACATGCCAGAAGGCAGAGGTACGCCTTCACATTGACTCAATTCACTGCAGCTTGTAATAACACATTCAAATATTCGTTTTTCCCCCTCGGACAATAATCGAATAAAATAATCTCAACAAGGATGTTGTTTCGCAGTCATCTTTGGATCTTTTTACTACGCAGCTGCAGCGATAAGCGTGTGAACTCTATTACATGTACTGGTATTGTTTATTTCAATCACTGTAGTGTTTATTCTACGCTAGTGGTCATCTTGAATACAGTGCTGATTTGATTTCATTATATGCGTTTATGCCTGTTTATTGCAAATCGTCGACCTTCTTTAAGTTTTTTTTTTTTTTGTCTTCTGAAAGCCTGTACATACTTTGTCTGTTTTATTGTTATTGCATTTGCCAATTTCGAAACTTAACAAATGTACAAGGACTCTGCTAAAACCCCATTTTAAGGGTTGCAGTATTCACAAATAAATAAAATAAACAAGTCATTTCCAGTACGATTAAAATCTGTACAAACGAGCTTCCACACAGTGTACGCAAAACTGTCACATAGCTGGTAAAAGCATACCTTGACTGTTTTGAGCGCTGCAGTTCTGTTGTCAGAGGACTTGAGGTCCTGGTTGTAGAACAGCCGAATAGTGCTCATCTTGCTGATGTTGTCAAGGGTCAGCGGAACCACCTAATATTTGGAAAGCAGAAAAGGATACAAGTAAATAGGTTTTTGAAAATATGTCAGTTTTAATGAGGCCTTGAAGCACTTTTTCAAGTAACCGTGAAATAGATTCACTAAAAGAGCTTATTGCCTCAAGAATTCAATGCCACAAAAATTTTAAGAATCCGTGCAGTACGAGCGGAGTTACGAAAATCTGTCGCACGCTGCAACCACGTTCTCTCTTCTTTCGTCCGGGCGAAAGCGCTGGAGGCTAAGCAAGGAGGGATGGCAGGGGCAAAGAAAATACGTCATGTGTGCCTTGTGACCATGAGCACTTCTTTTTTTTTTTCTTTGAATATCCAGTTTTTTTTCTGTGGGATCGCGCACACGCGTGGAAAAGTCGCGGCCTTCCGCGGTGATCCTTGTAACGACCGAGTGAACCATGCTCAATTCAGCCAATGGCTGATAGATGCATGCACAATAGCAAAAAGTTACATGTTTTGCGGGTACTCTTTGATGTACTTAACTTTCAGTAAAAGCATTGTCTCTGATCTTATTTGATTCTTGGTAGATTGTAAAGTGGAAATATCTATCCAGATATGTCACAGAAATATCGGAACCAAGAAAAAAAAATCGTATTGAATGACTAATTATTTTCAATCTCCCTTGAAGCAATAACCTAAATTTTCACAACTAATTCTGGTAGGCATTGCAATTTCAAGTAGATACATGCATTCTGCATGTGTTGAAGAATATGTGTGCCAAGTTTCGTTATTATACAATAAGTGTCTAAAGGCTGCCCGGAAAATGTAAAATTGTAAAAAAAAAAAAAAACTAAAATGAGAAAAACAAGTTTGAAAGTTTGGAAAGATGGCATTTATTAGGAAACCATTTTTTTGCATCAAATTGTGCCCCAATGAAAAGCATCTTGCACTGAACCCTCGGAAGACCGAGAATCGCACAGAATTGTGAAAGTTGGTCATGGCCTGCGCCTATAACGCGTGCTGCCAGAACTGCCTTCAACGTTTACAGCAAAGCTATCACGTGAGCTCCCGCTGTCGAAACGAGTGCTCGTCCCTTGGTCCCTGGCCGAAGTAGTACGTCTCGACGCGTGGTAAAATGAAAGTTTAGATTCAGGGCAATCGGTATTCTCACAGCACAGTTCGAGGAATGCCGAAAGCCCTTTGCGCTTTCCAGCTACCTCGGACGCCAAGTCCCCATTCGCAGCAGGTTGGGCATTGCACACCCGTCACAAGGGCAGTCAGCACATCGATTTCGCAAAGCAGCATGTTGGCAGTAGCAGCACCTACTGACCTACGTTCACTCTCTTCATTTGGGATGCACTGACGAATTCCACGGCAGCGCCTGTTTTACAGCCACTGTCGCCGCGGGGTTCGTTGTCAGTTAGGCCTATTTGAAGTTGGGGCGTCGGTCGGCAGTGACACCAGCATTTGCTGTCGCTTCTGGAAGCATCCGACGCCGTTTCCCTCGATACTTGGGGGCGAGTTCTGAACTTTCGATTATCTAGATTATCGAAATCGAAATCAATTATTTCGATTATCTTCTCGGGGCTCGCCATGACGCAAAACTGCAGAGAAACACCGAACAACTCGATTGCGACGTCCGAGGAAGGATAGGAAGGGGAGGAGGCGGAGCGCACCGCCGACCAATGGCAGCCTCGCGTTGCTTACCGCGATATACGAAACGGGTAACATATGCGTTGTTTTTCTTGTTTTTGGTTCATTCTTCGTGAGGATACGAGACTGGCTACTAGTGGATTGTGAAGGGGAAGGCCTTCGCAGCATGCGTGCCTGATTGCAAATGGCGGCCAACGCGTCGTTTTCGCGACAGGACAACGCGAACTATGCCATTCATGGCAACTTTCGCACATTTCTCACCTCCCCGCTCCCTACTTCGAAGTATTTTTAGATCATTTCTCGTGCGAATTTCAGCTTGATATTTTCAGAAGTAAGAGATTATAGCTCAAGGATGCCAGTACAACCAGAAAAAAAAAAAGCGAAACTTTTCCGGAAAACCGCGACTTCTCGACCCGAGTTGTGGACTATAAAAGGTGCTGTGCTTCAGGGACTCTATTGGGATATGTTCACTTTTTTAGTATTCTCTTTCTGGCAGCAGTTTTTCAACAGTTAAGAAATGTCATGGAGCTAGCACATGATACAAAATGCCACCTTCATGAGTGTTGTCATATGCACGACACGGATGGCAACGCACATTCTTGAACTTACAAAAACTAGCAAGAGCCATCCTGCATTCTGCCATTACACAGGAATGTACATTGAGGCATGTAAGCTAACTATTTTCACTTGTAGACAAAGTTTCAACAACAAATGAGTGTGCTTGTTGCTACTATTGTACTCCGAGTGCTCCCCATTTTGCTGGAGACGAGCTTGCCCAGTAGAGAATTCGAAACAGTAATAAGTGTCGAGTTTTTCATTCCGAGACCAAGGTACCATCGTGAGCGAGGCCAAATCTGAGCACAATGGCCTCCTCTTTTGACCTCGACTGAGATGCAGCCGCTACGGCCAAGATTCGATCTCGCAACCTTCAAGTCAGCAGTTGAGCACCACAACCACACCCATCACGACTCGTGAGCGTTCAACATCTAACTTATTCTCAGGGTTGCCATATGTGACAATAAAGATGCCAACCGCTTATTCGGACACTGAAAATTCAGAGATGCTCATTTATAGGCCCACCTTCGCAGCATCGTGACTTGTTCCATTGAGGTAGTGTAACCTCCCAACTGAAAATTCAGATGCCCCACAGCGCGCCGTTCGATTTCATCGACGCCAGCTGGTGTGGATTGAGTGCGACCTCAAACATCATGACAAGCTGTCTGCGATGTTTACAATATATTTGCTACGTTGCCAGCACTGAAAGGTCGCAATGTTTACGGCTGGAGATTCTGCTAGTGTAAAAATCCGTGCATATATTACAATTACCTATCTCAAAAGCCACGTTTTTTGGCTACACGCAATGGCTGCCTTTTGGCTTTAGCCAGCAGAGTATTCACTGAATAGCCACTATGGCCAAACTGCAAGCCAAGCCAAGCCATGCTCAAAGTCAGCTCGGTGTGGTGTATGAGAATGATTGCACGCATGACATGGAGAAAGGGAGACCAACCAAGCTACAATGAACACTTCATGTGCGCTGCAGCACAAACCCACGTGGCATCATTCCCTTTTGGTTTATGTTATCACTTGTTTCTGTGACTAGGCCTGACCTGCGCGTCAAGAGTTGTATATTGCTCTTGTTTGTTGCTTGACATGTAAGGCACGATTTGGGTGAAATGGCTTCAACACCACCCGCTCCATCTGCGCCGTCATACTAATAAAGGAACGTGGCAACTTCAAGACAAGGATGATGGCAAAAAAAAAACTGTGATTATTCACCAGGTCAAAGGTGGCCGACCTCAATCCGATGTTGCTCAGGAGTTTTTACAGAGCTGGATGATGATGAGAACTAGCACAGGTGGAAAGTGACTTCAAGGAAGCACCGCCCCCACCACAATTTCAAATGGGGATTTAGCGGAGCCATAACAGCACTATGGACAACGTACAGTGGTGGCCAAACACTGGCTGAAACACAGGCCAACTTGGTCGGCGAGGTATGTTTGCGTGCAGATGTGCAGTGCAAAGTTTTTCCCGTCAATGGGCCAATAAAGGTGCTTTTACTTCTGGCGAATTCCTTCGTTCAGACTCTAGATCATCCACACTTTTTAACGGTTCCCACCGAGTCTTAATAAATGGTCGGCGACTGTATTATGTTATTTCAAGTACCCATGGGCTTTCGTATTGTGCCATCATAGGGATGCAGCTAACATATTCGATATTCCAATTTGTGACCTTACAGAGCATCACAGCCCATAAGCTGCCAGCAAGTGACTTTGAACTGGCACCCGTCTCGTATTTACACTCACTCGCAAAATACAAAATGGTATACGCGGAACTCTCTCATCAATCTGCAATAGACCTGACGCAACTGTCACCGCTCAACAAAAACAAAGAGGGTGGCAGTGAAGTGCTTGGGCAAAGGTATGCACCCACCTGCGCTTCCCCTTTCTCTCCCGGCTTGGGAGGAGTCAACGCTGACGTCAGTTTCGTCTGGGCACTCTCCTTCGAAACGTTGAGGAGCACGTCCACAATCACCACGGGATCCTTGAGGCCAGGCTGTCCCTGAAGAGTAGCAGGCGAGTGTGGTAAGTTATAAATAAGCACACCAGCCTGTCTACATTTCAAGACTTTCTTCCTTTTCATTCAGCCAGTAAAATCATGTGACAACACTTGCAAAACATTATAGGGACATCAAGGAGAAAAAATATTTTTGTATTATGATAACAAATGACTCTATCACAATTTCAAAACCACCGTGCTTACCACAGGAAGACACTCGGTGAGTAAGAAAACACGTCAAAAGAAAATACGGGTGACAGTGTCATCTCGAAGTTTTCATACTAACCACCGTGATGTCTTAGATTTGAACGGCATCTACTAGGATCTACATAGTTACCAATCTGCAAAAATGAAGCACATTGTCCTCTGAAGGAGCCATAGACTTAAAAAGTTGACTTTTCAAAGACTTTTCAAAACCTAAAATGATCATCATTACCATCAGTCTGACTACGTCCACTGCAGAACAAAGGCCTCTCCGGTGTTCTGCCAGTCAACTTGGTGCTGTGCTTGCTGCTGGAACTTTATACCCACAAACTTCCTAATTTCATCTGCACACCTACCGTAATTACTCGAATCTAACGCGCACCTTTTTTCCGGTACGGCGAGTTCATGAATCGCATGCGCGTTAGAATCGAGTACGATAAAAAAAAAATGAATACGGTCGTTCTATTGCCATCGGCATTCCGAAATGGCCGCCCCCTACGTGCGTCGGCATGGCGCGTCGGCCATTTCTGCCTATGTGTTTCCCATGTGCGGCACTTCGTACGTGTGCTGAGGAGTTCGTCATCTTGGTACGCATTAGCATCGACAGCGTGGGAGGGCCGAGTCCAAGAACTCGACGAGTGCACCACGGTGCCGCTTTTAAAAGAAAAGTCATCGCGTGTGCCGAAACGGGCGTAAATCGGGCTGCATCGCGGTCGTTCGGAGTTCCCAAAGCGTGCGTGCGGGGCTGGCGGAAACAAAAGCAGAAGATTGTCGACAGCAAAGCTTCACGCAAAGGCTTCAGTGGGCCACAGCAAGGTCGGTTTCCGCAAATTAAAGAGCTGATCGGCGAGTATGTGCTTGAGCAGCGAGCGGCACATTGGCCCATGACGACAGAACTGCTCCAAGTGCGGGCTATGCAATTAATCTTGGAAAAAGGTCTAATGCGGAGCTAGTTTAAAGCGAGCAGGTGCTGGCTAACTAACTTTATGAAGAGGAAAGGCTTTTCCCTCTGAAGGGGAACGGGCATATGCGAAAAGTTTTGCGGAGGAGTACGATGAAAAGCTTCACAGTTTTCAGAGGTTCGTCCTTAACTTGCGGCACAACAACGGCTACCTGCTTGGGCAAATCGGGAATGCCGATCAGACGCCTCTTTACTTCGACATGCCTGGCACCACAACTGTCGAGAAGAAGGGGACGAAGCAAGTTCGCGTGCTGACATCGGTCCACAGTAAAACTACAGTGACAGAAATGCTCTGTTACACGTCAGATGGGCACAAGCTTCGCCGTACCTCATATTTAAATGGAAGACGCTCCCGAAAGGAGTCGTTTTTTCGAGTGGTGTGATCGTGCGGGCCAGCGAGAAAAATGGGTGCGCGTTGCAATCGATGTCTTACGTTTTTTTTTTTTTTCATCGTGGAAATCGGGTGCTAGTTACAATCGAGGGCGCGGTAGAATCGAGTAAATACGGTAACCTTCTGTCTCCCCCTAACCCGCTTGCCTTCTCTGAGAATCCAGTCAGTTACCCCTAATAACCAACAGTTATCCTTCCTACGTGCTACATGCCCAGCCTGTGTCCATTTCCTCTTCTTGATTTCAACAATGATATCCTTAACCCCCCTATGTTCCATGATTCACTCTGGTCTCTTCTTGTCTCTTAAGGCTACACCTATCATTTCGCTTTCCGTCGCTCGCTGCGTCACTTAAGCTGAAAAGTTCCAATCATCTATAACTTATAATTAGCCAAGTTTGAATCATAACAAGCTTGTACTGTATATTTTATCGGGTTATACCTTAGCAAACTACATGGTGGGCTATGAGGGGCACCAGAGTAGCTCGAAATTATTTTGGACCAACTGGGCTTCTTTATATGCAAATTTGTCACGACTGTTTGTACATAAAAATTTTTCATATGCAAATCTGTCGTGAGTGTTTGTACATAAAAATTACGCTCAATAGCCACTGCGAAAGGAGGTAAGTGAACCCCAACCTGACACATGTCTCAAGTGAAAAAAAAAAAAAAAGAAGGGAGAGAGAGAACACCGACATGAAAATCTAGATGTTTTTGGTTATAAAAGTACTTGCAGTGAGATGCCAACATTACTCGGAAGAAAGCACAACTCACTCTTGAAGTGACAACCTTCTTCTTCGTGTAGTTTATAACCAAGCCCCAGCCGAAATCGTGAGTGCCATTGTTTATCTGAAAAAAACAAAAAACAAAGCAAGTTTAGAAATGAAGGGCCGAGAAGAAAAGTCACAATGCATATCTCAGCGTTAGTGTTCATCATACGGTAGACTCTCAGTAAACATGTATCTCATGAACGGAATAGCTGCTTACGTGAACTGCCTCTAGTATTATGACTGGTTTCATACGCAGAAGCTGCAAACCCAGTTCATCGCTCCGTAAATGAAACACCCTCAAACGAAACAAAGATTGTCGGTCCCTTTAGGTTTTACTTAACAAGAGTCTACTGATGTTGCTAGACTGCCCTGTCACGTCTAACGGTTAAAACACTGAACAAACGTAAAAGAAGGAGTGTCTGTGACAGCAGCGATTGATGAACGTTCCTTGTTCCTCTGCAACAGTAGGGAACTAGCCTGCCAGTCCGTTTTGATAAAGGACGAGCCAATGCTTCCCCAGCGAGTACAGCTCACTGTATAGATCCATGAAAACACAGTGCAGCCATGAGGAGGATGAAGACAATTCAGAGCCTTTCCCCAGGTGAGAAAACGGAGGACAAGCAAAGTATGGCATATGCATGGTTGACTTTTTTCACAAAATATTGATATAACCATTTCAGATATAACGAATTATCATTTATAACAAAGTGAAAAAAAAAGCTTTGTAATAGATACAGTCAATCCCGGATATATCAAACTCTGATATATCGAATTATTGGCTATATCAAACAGTTGAGAAATGCTTTTGAATTTCCCATGCAAAAGTATGGGACCAACGCATCCGTATATCGAACTCCCACACAGTGGGTCATCTGCTATATCGAATGATGCACTGCGCCAAAGCCCAGAAAGTGCATTTTTCCTATCAATTATTGATCAATTTTAGGCCGTATTTAACAAGTTTCGATCCTTTTTCCCACACTGGCGTCGAAAAAACGGTGTTATTCCATCCCGCTCTCTGGTTCGTCTTGCGGCACTTGCGAGTACATCTGTATGTTTGGTGCGCGATATGCAGGTCTTAAAGCGTGGGCATAGTGGTTTCCAAAAGACCAGTGCCGAGGGCACTGAAATGAGAATGCAAAGTGAATTGACGATCTCATTGCAATGTTCACATTCCCTTCCTTGTTTGTTAGGGCACAATGGCATGCGAGCGTACAAGCATGGCCTTCGAGATGTGGAATCTTGTGACGTGTTTTTAGTGTTTTTGGTTTTAAAACGCGTGTCTCAGAGGTTACGCTTCTTTTATCTTTTTGTATCAAGGCCGCTAAAAGCAGCGGCTGCCAGCTAGAAAGCCACAGTGACACCGATATCGCCAACATGTCGACGGTGGGAATTCGAACGAACTCGGCGTTGTGTCTTTTGTGCGTTGTGGTTTTGTGTACTTCTCAACTCATTCCTGCTAAATCCTCATTCGGGAGTTGAACTGAATGTTAACCTAAACCTAGCAATAAATATTATGACTGGGGCTTGGAGTGACGTCAAGTAGAACACTGTCGTAAACAGGTGACAACATCGGGTGTGTCATTACCGCTGACAACGGTGTACGGCGCCTCAGTTAATTCTGCGACTTACCAACATTTCCGAGTACCATCTCGAACAGATGGTACTCTCATGACGCTGCTGGGAAAGAATACGAAGCAGCGAACATTTCTTTTTTTTTTGAGAATAAACATTCCTTTGTTTTGCTAGCTCAGATCAGCTATATTTTTTTCGATTTCACTACAACGAAATTTTTTCCGCACCCCGTCAGTTTCGACTGTATAACAAATTTCCGGATATAACGAAAGATTTTCAAGGCAGATGTGACTTTGTTACAATGAGCTTTGGGTGTACTTTCTTTTTTTCTTGCTGTCACAATGTGTAATGCTACCTCCCAACTGTTTCCCACCTGCACAATCAAGCATTGAACTTCCCTTCACATTGCAGCAGCGTAGCACTTTAGTCGCTCCGGGAAAGGACGACGATGATGCACTTACACAGGCATCAATGGCATGCGGTAACATGAAGTGACTAGTCACATACATAACATATTGGACTGCCATATCAGAAACCACTGATCACTGACAAGGCCACTTTGGAGGGACCATCAAATACATTCAAACCTCTATATAACGAACACGAGTACAGTTGAACCTGCTTATAAGGAAACTCCATATAACAAATTCCTCGATATAACGAAGTTTTTCCATTCCCCACTGTTGCTCCATAGAAGCACATGTATTTGCGACCTCTATGTAACAAAGTAACAGCAGGAGACAACCTTAATATAACGAATTTTCCCAACGGACAATCTAGAACTTTTGCTCTGCATTTTGGCATTTTGGTGAGAGCATGCATTTTTCGCGGCTGCCCCGTCGCCGACGAAGTGCAAAGTAGCGGCGGCGTGCCCGAAGGTGAGAGCGAGCGCTTGTTATTGCGCACAAGTGAGCGCGAGGCGGGCAGGCGATACTGCACCCCACGAGCCGGCGTTGCTGCGGTTCACAACGACGCGGGCGCGTGCACGGGTGTGCCGCCCCTCCCTCCAAACAAGCAAAAAAAATCTTTCGCGCGTCACATATGAGGGGCCGCACTGCATATGGAGGGCACTTTACCAAATAGTTTTCCGCGGTATCCATGTCTGTCGCGTTTGCTCTTTGCTTTCGAGGCCGTGTGCGCGTGCCTAGTTTCACTGCGCACGCATGGTGTGGCCCCCGACGACGTTCAGCTTTGCTTTTTTTATTGCGCAATTATACGGACAGTCTCGGCTGGTTTTTTGCCGCAGCCGTCGTCATTCACCGTATATGTATACGTATCTACGTATATATGAAAACCCAAGAAAGAAAAAAAAAAACAGCCGTGCTCGGTGCCCAGCTCACCACGATGCATCAACGTGCGCTTATCTCCCACGTGTACTTTGCCCCTCGAATTGGGAAGGGGTCGTGGTAAATGTTTGTGTGCACGCGCTTATCCTTCGGTGAGAAGAATTGCCCGCCTTCGACTTTGAACAGAACGATTGCGTTTAGTTGCCGGGCACAGAAAGATCACTTCGCTTGCTGGACAGGCGCCGCCGTTTGCGAAAAGAGTGCGCTTTTCAAACACAGCGAAGTAACAACTGGGGCACTTGTTAGTTCACACTCATATCTGTACCTGTGATTACATTTTGTGCCTCGTTTTTGTTTAAATAGCGCGTTGAGTGTTGAGCGGCAAACGTTCTTAGTTCACTCTCGTCCTGTGTATGTCGTTTTCGTGCGTCATTTGTGCGTGAGGAGCTCGCTGCACATATTGATCTGCTTGCCGTTTTGAGCGTTACATTTCAAGTTGTTGCTATCGCATTCAATGCTTCGCCCTTGTGGCAAAACTGTGACTTTTCCTAATTTCAAACAATCATGTGGTCACCACTGAGGGGATGTCAGATTAGGCGTTGATCTACAAAACTCCTACAAAACGCTGGTGTGAGCAAATACGGCCGCTCCCGGGAGAAGTGCTCTTTTCACGCAGCCCCTTTGGGTTAAAACTGCACTGATACTTGCTGAGATAGCAAGCGCACCAGCAATCGCGACGGCCCTTAAAATACAAGTTCATCATTGCTACTCGAGCGATCCCCCCCACCCTTTCCCGTGTTGTTTAATGCTCGTTCAAGATAAGTGATTTACTTTTTGTTTGAGAATTCGACGGCAGTTCTAACACGTCGGAGATGTTATCTTATGCATTTTCCAGGCGAGGTAGAGATGGTCCGATTCATTTGATTTCTGCTTCAGCAGCGCCCGCACGCTTTTACACGCTCGTGAAAGTTACGATGCGGGGAGGGGGCGATGGCACGGCATGTTATGAATTTGAACTTGTTACAGAACATGGCGGTAACGGCAAAAACCCGCAAAAGTGTTTTAGGTTAGCTCTGCCTTCAGTCTCCCTCTTGTTTTATTTGCACGTTTATTTTCCGAATTGTCGCACCGAACCTGCATATAAAGAAATCCTTTTCATAACGAATTTTTCTGTGAATTTGTCAATTTCGTTATATCCAGGTTTAACTGTATAACCAATGATCAGTTATAACAAAGTAAATGAATAATAGTTTTGCAGTACATACAGTGTGAGGAATAAAGCTTTAAAACAAATTTTCAGATATAACTAACTTATTTTTGTGTAAGATGCAACTTTATAATGAGGTTTTGGTGTATTTGAAAACGGCGCACAAAAACACACAACCGACAAGAGCACTTTTGAAGGCAGAAATTCAGTACCGTCCCTAGCGTCACGTTTTCGCATATGACGCCACCAGATTCAATTGATCGTAACAAGCCTCATGTGAAAAAGATGGCTGGAGGAGTTATTTAAGGCATACTCACGTGCACCATGCGCCCTGGCTGCAGGTACGGAGTGCAGTAGTCGGGGTGGGTGAGAAAAGCCTGCAGCTCCCGAGACAGGGAAGCCAACTGCTGCCGCACCTTGTAGTAGGCGGCCACTTCCGGCTCGTTGGGGATCTTGAACGAGTCCAGCTCGGCCTGGAGCTTCTGCAGCTCTGTCGGTGAAGCGGGAAAGATTATTTTTCTCTACAAAGCAAAGCATGGTATGAATTTGTACACGAAAGTCGACCCATATTGTTTATGAGCCCACTAGAATATGTAGCTGGGCTAGTTCGCTCGTTCTGAAGAAAGGTGAAGGACGCAACCCATGTAGATGGGAAAAAAAGGGAAAGGAACAGGATAGAGCGTTTACTTGCAACTGACTTTATTTGAGAAAAAGAAAACAAACAAAGCAGCTCTTTTTTATAACATGCAGACACGTGCACAGCTACAGTTGCACAGGACATTGGCGAACAATCCCACGCTTATGGCATCACGGTAGCAAGAAATTAAAAAAATTGCACTTCTGCTTCACGCAGGGCGACAGGTATGGCGCTGATGCACACATTTCGTTTAACATTGATAAAGTACGCCTCTGAAGTTTCATGTGCCACAGTGTTCTTGCTCCTTCTATGTATCCAAATAATTGTAAAGTTCAGCCCAGACATGCCATGATTCGCACTGCATAGGTAAATGGGCACTGATTTTACATTTAATAGAAAGCTTCTGTCCTAAGCGTAACCGTAACTGCGCACATGTCCGCATGCTCATAAAAAGGAGTTGCTTTTCCAAATAGTTGGAGCTCTATCTTGTAACACTTTTTTTTTTTTTTTTTTTTTTTGGTCTATGTGGGTTGGGTCCTTCACGTTCAGAGCACCACGAGCAAACCACTGCCGTGCACGGACAACATAGAAACGACTGCACTAGCCAACTACTGTAATGACATCCATTGCGAAAACAGCAAAGAGATCAACGAGAAACCACATATATTCTCCACTTTGAAGACACCTGTCTCCCTGCCCCCTATGAATGACTTTCACAAGCGAAGCACTTCTGCTTCAGGATCGTTACATGTGTGGCAATGAAATAGCCAGAAACCGTGGTACAATTGTGAAATGCTAAGTGCCTTAAAACAATCAGCAATAAGCACAATAGGGGAAAAAAAAGAGTAGCATTAAATGATGCGTGGACCTCCAGCTTTGACATGACAGACAACATTGTCGTCTAAGGGAGAAATACTCTACTCAAACAATGATAAAACTCGTCTCCAAATTGTGATTTCTTGAATAAAAGTCCATTCACCAAAAGACTCGCAGTTTCCACCTTATATTTTTCATTATTTTTTTTCCATAGCAAGTTCCTCTACACATTTCAGGGATGACTGCATTCCATTTGAGTAAGTACGACAATAGCAATAAAGAGTGCGACACCTTCGTTACAGCAGAGCTGGCCAGTTCCGAATGTCACCTCTGTAATGCAGCTCAAAAGTTCTCTAAATACTCACTAGGTAAACCCATTGAGGATTGAATTTTCAAGGCATATGTGAACCCCCCCTCCCCCCCCAGGACCAATGTTCTTTATCGCCGATTTGAATTCTTTGGGCAAATCTATTTAGCAAAAAAAAATTGTTGCAATATTTTCAACCTGGCTAGAACACAAATTGTTTGTGTAGTTACCTACATGCAGTTTATTCATTAATAACAAAAAAAAATTTTAAAAAAAACTTAAACAACTTCTAAAAATTAGGCATTGCAATAAACGTAATCAACAGATGTACAACGATAAATGCCTCAGAGTACACCGCTCAGCTCACTTGCAGCAAAGCAAACAGTAACCACCTGCACGGCGTAAGCGAACTGCACGGGTAAGTACAGTGAAGAAAAAAAATTGTACTGTTGGGCAACGCGCCCAGAAAGCAAAACAAGTAAAAAACCCGTAAAAATCCTTCACTTCATCTTATCACCAACGAGAGGAACAAAGTTTTTGTGAGTTCCCCAAAACAGGAAACACAACCATGGAGGCATGATGCGTGTACGTGAGCATCTACGTTGATACAATGGTGATTGCGTCCTGGTGGGATATTTATTTATTTATTTAGAATACTGCCAGTCTCTACTGAGACCATAGCAGGTGAGCACTCTGTACAGATGCTATGATTGCTCATCATAGTAAAAAAAACTGTAATCAAGAACATAAAAGCAACATCAACCTGGCACTTTGTACATTAGCAATATTTACACAACATAATATACAAAATACAAGTGCATACAAAATGGCAAGTTTAGCAATAAGGCCACTTACATGGCTGCTTACAAAACATACAAGTAGTACATACTGGTTTCATAACCATTGTCATTGAGTATTTAAAGAAGCTAAAAAGTGTTTTCAATTTCTAACTCAAACTGAGACAGTGACTAGTGTTTGTGATGTCAAGGGCCAACATGTTTCATTCGCGAATGGCAACCGGAAAAAAAGAATATTTAAACACATCAGTGTTGCATTTGTATCGTACTAATGTGTGTATGTCTGTAATTTGTGTTTGCGAATAAGACACGTAATTTTAAATGTCTATTTTAAAATAATTGTGCAGGAGTTGACAAAGCAATTTAAAGAAATGATAAAGATACAAAAAGAGAGTAACAAAGCGGTCACTGTTTTAAAAGATTCAAAACCAAACTACCATTAGTTTAGCGAGCACAAGAAGTAGGAAGTGCCCAAAGAACGAAACCGAAACTAGCCGCTGCGTGCCCGTGCGCAAACACGTGCCCAAGCGGCAGTCCATTCGCAGCAATAAGAGGCATTAAAAAAAAGCAAGATAGAGAGACACTGGAGCAAGAAAACAATTCCACGTATTCCCCCAGTATAGCAGCATATGAGAGGCAAAAGAGGTTAGTATCAAGAAAAGGCGCGTTTTTTAAACGTGTAAGCCATGTTGTACATTTACGTCATCAACCATTTTGAAGGTATTCGTGGAGAACCTCTTTTTACTGACCCTGAAAGGATTAGGTGCCTATGGTGAGGAGGCAGGCATCGTAAACTCACTCTCGTAATAGACTGGTATGGACACATTGTTCTGGAACTGGAAGAAGGACCGCTCCAAGATGTACTCGGGATTCACCTCTTCCACTCGCATCAAGTTCAACACCATGTTGTAGGTCAGATGGAACGCACTGTTGATGGGGTCGGGCAAGCCCTGTCACGAGAGGAAGCACGTCAGCCATATTGACGGCAAAACAGATGTGCATTGCATGCATTCCCACAGGTTATTTAATGGAAAACTTGAAGTTTGTAAAAACTCATTGGAGACATTAATGAGGCCTGGCACATCGCACTGCCACAGGGTTGCAAGGTTTGGCTACATTGCACCACGCTGGCTACTTTGAAGCCACTGGCGACAGAAAAAAAATGTGCTGGCTACTTGTCTAACTTTTGGCAACTTTGCGTTCTCTCGATTTTTTGCAACATGCAGACATCCCGTAACGTTGCACTCCCCGCCATACGAACACCATATCAAAACAATGCAGTCACTGTATGTTCCCAGCTTTCAGCATTGAATGTGGCTGACACTCTTTAGTTTGCTCACCCCCTATTGATGAATGCAACTTTAAACTTTAACATGAAGAAGAAAAAAATCGAAGTCCAAAGACACTCCACACTGACCATTATAAATCAGATGCCTGAATAACTTTTTCAGTATATACTCAGGATTAAGTGTGTACTCTGACTAATGAATATTAACTACAGGCTACTTCATTTCACAAGAAAAGATTGCAACACCACACTGTTGCATCAAACGAAGAAAATTATCGAAAAATCAGATGCGACTGCTCCAGTTTGTGCAGCTTGAGTAAAGTGGCTCTCTATGTCAGTTCGGTTAGGGTAGGTTAGATTGAGGACAAAGCAATAAAATAAATAGCCACAATGACATCTAACCTTGACAATATCCTTGCCAGACGCTGGACTCATTTTCTCATCCACCATGAGGATGACAATACCACGGTCATCCAGACCACGCCGTCCAGCACGACCACTCATCTGGATGTACTCTCCGGAGGTGACCTATACAAATGAATAAAAAAGTTCGAAGTCCACAAGAGTTTTCGACAAAGTACTTAAGACCTTCAGATTTTTATGAGAGGGCGTCCTTCTTCAGGTAGAAAGCACCAATGCTGCCATCTAAGCAGTGCTCGTTGTACTCACTATGTCTGTAGGAGATGGGCTGATAATCAAAAAAGCCTACAGAGCAAAGCAAACTTTCAATGCGTTTGCCATGTGGCTTGTGAGAAGTTATAATTGCCACAAAAAGCTTAAATACTTGCAAGTCTACAATGATAGGCTTGTGCGAATAGTGATTTCGATCGAATAATTTCGAATCGAATTCTAATGTTATGTATGACATTAAAAAAAGGGAATATTTATCATGACTTAACTCGCACAATATTTCTTTTGAAATGAAATAGGGGCTCTATGCAAATGCCTTTTTTCAAAAAAAGCCGAAACAACCTTGAGTAGTAGTTTTGGTAGCATGCGAGTGATGATTTGTAAGATACTTAACGATTAAAAATTTTTTTTACTTGGATCATATAAGCCATCATAACAAGCTTAATAAAATGAAGAATTGATTTGAGGGTAACATGTTCCCTTAAAGGGGCCCTGCAACACTTTTTCAAGTAGCCATGGAGCCAGTAAACATGCTTGTTGCCTCACAAATTTACTGCCGCTAAGTTTCTAGAATCAGTCCAGTACAAGCGGAATTCCAGAAATTTGTTGCACGTTGCAATTGCATTCTCTCTTCTCATCCCAACGAAACAGCTGGAAGCTAAGCAGAGAGAAATGGCACAGCGAAAGAAAATACGTCACACGCACTTTGTGACCTTGAGCATCTTTTTTTTTTCTTTGAATACGCGGCTTTTCAGTGCAATTGCGCACATACTCCTGGACAAACGGCGGCGCCGGTAACGACCAGCGCGCCATGCTCACATCAGCCAACGGCTGTGACCAGAGGCACATATTCCTTCTTGGCTGTGACAAGTGATTTTCGAGCTCGTAGTGTCATTTGCCGAGGGAAGAAAGCAACTTTAGCTTTAAAATTTATTGTGAATTACAGATTACGTGCTGCGCTGCAATATTTGCCTCGCGTGTTCTCGGTAGCCTCGACTACCGGTCGGCAGCGTTTTCTGACCATATTCATTACTTATGTGTTGCAGGGCCCCTTTAAAATTGAAGGGGGGCTTTGCGGCAAAGCAAATTGCTCTTGAGTAAGTGTTTTCACGGCTTTGCATTACTACATTGCAGTGAAACCACCTTTACAGGCGGACTATAGTACATTTATTTGTTTATTGCGAATACTTTGAAAATATTCGATAATTTAAATTCGAATCGAATACTCACCTATTCTTTCGAATATTCAAAGCATTCGAATATTCTCACAAGCCTATACAATGAACAGTAGACCAGAAGTCATTATGTACGATTATTTAACAATCAGCTGACTTTACAGGTAGTATCCCTACTCTACTGCTGCGGCAAAGAACGCTAACAGAAATGACGCTTGCTGGACTCAATGATGGGCATGGTTTTGCAGGGAGACTGCTTGCCATAATTTTATTTTTAAATCGTCTGTATTACGCACCCAGTGCGCAGTCTGCGTAAGCTAGTTCCACAGGTAATATTGTTCGTGCCGACCCCTACCTTTGCCCAGTCTCAACTTTTCTCAAGGGTACATTGCAAAACTGCTCATTTCAAGACGTTTTCCCTAAGCCCTCTATGGCCGATACTGATGAAGCAGCTTGTCTATCATGCGAATGATACACGCCAACACATCCATCACTCTAACAATCAAGGTTTATTATTATCACAATGTCTGCAATCTGTCTGATCACAAAGTTCAACAGTGTTTTCACATTTACGAGCTTCACGCATCCCGAGACCAAGAAACTGTCATTGACTGCATCCCACAGTTGCCGCATCGAACTATGTATACCAGCAAAACTGAGTGTGTCTGATCTGAAGCACAGTGCCTTGCACATATGCACAGGGCTCAGTAGCATGAGTGCTGAAAGGAACACTTTCAGCAGACGGACTCGGACCTGGAATGTCCAGATAATAAACACTGGAACTTTACCTAGTGGAACTTTACCTAGTTTCTTGATGTCTGTGGCACAGGGTGACGTGCAAAATAACCCCATTATTGTTTGCCTTTGTTATGGTTGTAGGTGCAACCTAACAATACCCTGGGTATTACATGCCAGAACCGCAACACAACTCGGCGATAGAGGGCTCAGGAACTATCGTAACATCAACAACTCTTTCCCTTATTTAGTTTGACAAAACTACTCACCCATCTGAATTCCTTGCCATCAAACTTCCTCGCATTCGTGAAGAGCACCGTACGGGCTGGCATGTTGAGTCCCATAGCAAATGTCTCAGTTGCAAACAGTGCCTGGAGTGCAGTAACGCTGGTCAGACGATCATGAGCCACAATGTGACAAAATTTGAGGAATTCACTGACACACAATTCCCTCACAGACCGCTCAAAGGGGCCATAAACCACCCCTAGGGCTTGGCAAAAAAAAAGACATCCTGATGAATGCAGATGCACTCAAACCTCGATATTAGGCTTGTGCGAATAGTGAATTTCAGGGTCGAAGCGAATAGTGATTTTGGTCGAATAATTTCGAATCGAATTCAAATAGTATGTATGAGATATAAAAAAAGGGAATATTTATCATAACCTAACTAATCTGTACAATATTTTTTTTTAATGAAATAGGGGCTCTATGCAAATGCCTTTTTTTTTTTTTCAATGAAAGGAAGTCGAAACAACCTTGATTAGTAGTTTCGGTAGGATCCGAGTGATATCCTGTGAGATACATAATGTTTTAAAATTTATTATACTTAAATCATATAAACCATCATAACAAGCTTAATAAAATGAAGGATTGATTTGAGGGTAACATGTTCCTTTAAAAGGGCCCTGCAACACTTTTTCAACTATCCATGGAGCCAGTAAACATGCTTGTGGCCTAACAAAATTACCGTAATTACTCGTATCTAACGCGCACCTTTTTTCCGGTTAAGCGAGTTCATAAATCGCATGCGCATTAGAATCGAGTATGAACAAAAAAATTACGGTCAATCTATTGCCACCGGCAAATCCAAAATGGCCGCCCCCTGCGTGCGTCGGCATCGCGCGTCGGCCATTTTTGCCACTGTGTTTCTCATGTGCAGCACTTCGTACGTGTGCTGAGGAGTTCGTCATCTAGTAGTGCATTAGCATCGACGACGTGGAAGGGCCGACTCCAAAAACTCGAGTGCACCACGATGCCGCTTTTAAAAGAAAAGTCATCGCGTGTGCAGAAACGAACGGAAATCAGGCCGCATCGCGGTCGTTCGGAGTTCCCGAAACGTGCGTGCGGGACCGGCGGAAACAAAAGAAGATTGTCGACAACAAAGCTTCACGCAAAGGCTTCAGCAGACCACAGCAGGGTCGGTTTCCGCAAATTGAAGAGCTGCTCGGCGAGTATGTGCTTGAGCAGCGAGTGGCACAGCGGCCCGTGACGACAGAACTGCTCCAAGTGCGGGCTATGCAATTAGTCTTGGACAAAGGTCTAATGTGGAGCCAGTTTAAAGCGAGCAGGTGCTGGCTAACTAACTTTATGAAGAGGAAAAGCTTTTCCCTCCGAAGGGGAACATGCATATGCGAAAAGTTTTGCGGAGGAGTACGATGAAAAGCTTCACAGTTTTCAGAGGTTCTTCCTAAACTTGCGGCGCAACAACGGCTACCTGCTTGGGAAAATTGGGAATGCCCATCAGACGCCTCTTTCCTTCGACATGCCTGACACCACAACCGTCGAGAAGACAGGGGCCAAGCAAGTTTCCGTGCTGACATCGGTCTACGGTAAAACTACCGTGACGGCAATGCTCTGTTACACGTCAGATGGGCACAAACTTCGCCCATACCTCATATTTAAATAGAAGACGCTCCCGAAAGGAGTAGTTTTTTTGAGTGGTGTGATCGTGCGGGCCAGCGAGAAAAATGGGTGCGCGTTGCAATCGATGTCTTACGTTTTTTTTTTTCACGGTGGAAATCGGGTGCGCATTACAATAGAGGGCGTGGTAGAATCGAGTAAATACGGTACCGCCGCAAAGTTTCTAGAATCAGTCCAGTACGAGCGGAGTTCCAAAAATTTGTCGCATGCTGCAATTGCATTCTCCATTCTCGACTCGTCAAAAGAATTGGAAGCTAAGTAGGGAAGGATGGCACGGGAAAAGAAAAAACATCATGAGTGTCTAGTGACCTTGAGCATCTTTTCTCTCTCTTTATTCTTCGAATACAAGGCCTTTCAGTGCGATCCTGCACGTACTAGTGGACAAGCGGCGGCCTCACGCGGCGGTCCGATAATGATGAGCGCGTCATGCTCAAACCGGCCAATGACTGTGACCAGAGCCGTATTTTCTTTCTTGGCTGTGACAAGTGATTTTGTAACTTGTAGTGTCATTTGCCGAGGGAAGAGAGCAGTTTTTAACTTTGAAAATTTATTGTGAATTTCAGGCCGCGTGCTGCGCTATAATAGTTGCCTCGCGTGTTCTCGGTAGCCTCAACTACCTATTGGCAGCGTTTTCTGACCATGCTCAGTAAGTGTTGCAGGGCCCCTTTAAATCTAAAGGGGGGCTTCGAATACTCACATATTCGTTCAAATATTCGAAACATTCGAATATTCGCACAAGCCTACCCGATATAACAACCCCGCCCCATATAACAGAATATCGGTTATAACAAAGTAAAAAAACAATAATCTTGTAATATAACAAAATATTGTTATATCAAAGTAAATAAACAATAGTCTTGCAACAGATATAGTAGTGCGAGAAATGTACCTTCATAACAAATTTTCGGATATAATGAACTTTCGAGTAAGATGCAATCTTTTTACTATGAGGTTTGAGTGCACTGTATTGCTGTGAACGATTCAGCCAAATCTTGCAGACATGAGTGGCAAGGAGAGTTTAGAAGCAGAGTGTAAAGTTGCCATTTTCTTAACTAATGAAACTTAAAAGATTGCATATTGGCTGATTTATCCTGCCACACCTTGTACACCCAGCGGTTAATCCCAGCAAGTCTGCTTGCTCTTGACAGACTTGAGAAATTTTTTGGCAACCAATCCACGAGGCTTATAAACTCTGTTACTGGGGTCATTTAACGACTACTTGGAGAAGTGGTTGAGGACTCCTCCAACAGTTGTGACGTTAAAACAGTGCTGAATAACAGACGAGCACTCAGGGAGACACGACACATGCACTGTGTAGCTCTCAATGATATGCAGGGTTTAACGTCCCTAAACCACCGTACGGTTATGAGAGACACTGTAGTGGAAGGCTCCGAAAATTTTGACCACCCGGGGTTCCTTAACATGCACCCAAATGTGAGTGCACGGGCCTACAGCATTTTAGAAATGACATTTAGGCTTCATAGAAAACGCCTCCATAGAAAACGCCTGCGGGTCAGCAGCCGAGTACCACCTTAGCCACTAGGTGACGAAGCCACTATGCAGTGCTTGTCGTGGTTTTTTTTAGCGCTCTTTTTCCATCACAAATACGAACCACCAACTAGCCCGAGTTTCTCTTCTTCTAATCCCTTCAACAGCGACGCCACAAAATGGCCACAGCAGAATACCTTGACAAGCCCTTCTGCAAAGAGAATCTCGATGGTCTCCTTCAAGATGGGCAGCAGGCCTGAATGATGCACCGCTATGCCTCGCTTCAGGAGCGGGAACACCTGCCCGACCTGCAAGAAGGGCGACGAGAAACCTCCACGGTCAACACAGATGCCACGAATTTCTCCTCGTGAGAGCTAGGGAATGAATACAGTCTAATTACGTGCACGAGAAGGCCACCAAGTTGTGCCAAGCTACCCCAAGGGGCAGGCCTTATCTCCTACCTGTGTTGAAAGGAGATCAAACTTCTATTGATTCTGTCATAAGTGACTGATTGACTGATAGACTTGTTTATCACAACGCACACAACGGCTGGCAAAGAGAAAGGCAATTCAAAGATGGCTTAAAGAAAACCGTCGCCCTTGTATTGACAAGCACAGCAGCAGACATAGGCATTTTGTCTAGCACTGCTATACACTTTAACACAAAGATTCACTTCAAAAAGAAGTAGTGTGAACCTTCGTTTTGAACCTTCTCAGACCTCATGAACTGCCACCATTGACGTACTTTTACTAAACTGCCACCTTCCTTCATCTGCAGATCAACAAATGAAGCACTCTGCAAAGAATCACAGCTCGCTAGAATAACACAGTACCAATTTTTGTATAGATTCCATCATCGAAATGGCCAGGAGAGCAAAAAGCTGTGGGCAGCAAAACAGATAGGCAGACAGATAGATAACGTCAAAGTCGACGAAGTTCGCTAATAAATGTTTCACATTTAAAAACAAAATATGTGGCAAGATTGCCAGAAAACTGGCCTAGCCAGCGATGCTACTTATTTTCATGTAAAGTCCTTCACTAAATTATAATTCTCAGAAATTATAAGTAGAAGGCAGCGAAAAAGCTTTTACTCATATCTGCCTCCGTTTATTTTGCCTTTGAATTTTGTTGTACACATTCAGATTAGCATCATCAACAGTGTAGCCGCATACTTTGCTTTTATGTTTGACAACGCAAAATGTCCAACAAACACCGCAAGAAATGTGCTTTTGAAAGTGCATACCTTTCGTTCTAATGCAGCTATCATTAAATCTACTTATTAAATCTACTTGGAGATATGTAATGGCAGATCAAACTGAATAAATTTACTTTTGTTCGTTCCATTCACCGAATAATAAAAAAGAAATAAAGTCCAATGTCTCCTCTTCAAGAAAGTTGTTCCACTTAATGCAGCAGTTTCATTAAAGAAACTTCCCTTAGAAGAGGTTTCACTGAATTAGCAATGACAGTACATTAGCTTCACAAGAAAGTCTATCCCGGAATAATAGCGGTTGTCCAGAATGACAAGGTGCTTAAAGTCTTTTCACCTGAGGAAGTTTCTGGTCTTCCTCCGAAAGAGAGTCCATGGCATTTTGGAAGACCTCCATCACAAGTTTTTTCTCACTAACTGTGTGAAATAAGAAAAAAAAATACACGCAATTGTGGTTGGCAGTTTGGTCCTTTTTACTTCATGCTCACCATGGTTGGGTTATCATGCAACATGTATACTGCTCAAACTTCCACTGGTGTCAAATAAAAAAAAAACAATATAGCGAGGGATACTCCCAGACTTCTTTATAAGACTACATATAATTGGGTGAACATCAAATTTGGGAGCGTGATTTTTTTTTCTTTCTTTAAAGCTCCGTGCTAAAGATTTTGAGTAGAGCATCAAACTTTCAAATTACGTCCAGAAGAGCGTTAAAATAAGACATTTGCAGTACACAACAATACAATAACTGCCCTTTCAGGAGTGGCTTAAAAGGGATGTTTCCGCCTTGAAACAACTACTAACTCAAGTTTTTCCAGCGAGATTTACCGATTAAATCCAGCAGGGACTTCATAATCCTGTGACTGATCTGAAAAGCTCTTATGCCTTCAAGAGCTACAGTATGCCAAATTTGTTGCAGCAGAATTTTCATGAGTACTCAAGGCAAGAAAAATAAAGCTTAGGGGAGTGAATTTTCACCTCAAGAATGTACCCCCCACCCCCCCACCCCAAAAAAAGGCAGATATTAAGTTGTGCATTTTTTATGACCTTAGTAAAAAAAAATGTAGCTTTTTGCTTTTCCATAAATGAATAAACAAATGGACACAAAATTTTGTATGCAACACCAACAGCACCCTCAGTGCTTAAAATTTTTTGAAGTGAGCAACCATAGCCAAAAAGCTCGCACAACTACATGAAGTTTTATCGAAAAGAGAAAAGGAGTCACAACTCACAAGTGGTCAAATCCATCTGGGCTATCTGTGTGGCATATGCCTCACATTCCTTTTTGCTGAAACTAAAGACGATAACAGGCGCATAGTCACGTTCCATAATCATCCTTACAATCTTGTAGCAGTTTGACTCGCCTGCGGGCAAACAAAACAAATCGGTATTCCAGAGGTCACGGGTACCAAATTGAAACAACCGAAGAAGGATTAAGAAAAGCGAGGGTACCTTTAAATCCTCCCTTGCGCCCTTTAAGGGCAGAGTCCCCTTTGGCAGCCTCGCCAGCATTCTGAAGCACAGTCATCGCTTCGTTGAACTTGTCCTCCTTGAAGTTTCCCTGAAGAAGATTTGCACCAAAATTTAATTTTACGTAATGTAGCCAAAGATAAACTCATGATTTATACTTAAATGTACAAAATCACCCAGACAAAAAACAGTACAGATGATGCAACCACTGTTTCGTCGGTTCTCTTTTTTCTGTCCGCGTCCTTTTGCACTGTTAGTCATATTTACAATCAAACTCATTCGATTTTCCATCCTTAGACAAACTAAAAGGCTTGCAGTCTCTCAGACTACCTATGAGTGAAGTAATCGTTCCAGCCTCTAAATGCACGGCTTTTCTGTGTGAGTAAATATGGAATAGAGAATGGCAAACTTGCCACAATTCTTAAAACGACCACGTTCACAGCTTCTCATATGAATGTCCCCAATAAAAACAGAATTTTGCCATGTAGCACAAAGTACTGCAATCGAAGAATTGCACAGACACTATTTTGCACATAATGCTTCATGGGAAAGCAGCTTATGATGATACAAGCATGCTTGAAAAAAGTCAAATCAAATTAACTTTCCTTTTCTTTCGTTGGAAGGGAAGGTGTGCCATATTTAATAACTGCTATACAAAGGTAATCAGCTTGATAAAGTAAGACACTGCCATTCCCTCCACCTTTTTATGATTGTCTTGACCAGCAGTTGTAAAAAAAAACAAAAGCAATGGACTCTCAGTAAACAGATATCTGTTAAACATAAATGCTGCTTAAATGGAACAACTTGCTACGTATACAGCATAATCGGTTTCATACTTGGATTATTCACCCTTATTCATCACTCAGTAAATGGAACCCCAGTTAAAGGAAACCCATTTTCTTGGTCCCTTCAGTTTGTGTTTAACAAGCGTCTACTACTACGTATACAGAAAAAACAAAACAAGTACAACTATGTAGAAGGCAAATAAGAAGTAAAGCCAATTAAAAAACAAAAATGAAGCTAGGCATCAAAAAAAAAAAACATTGCAAAGAAGAGAAGAAACGAAATCTCACAGATTCATCTACAACAAGGTAGAGCCCACCTCCACCAGCCGGGAAAATGTAGTGTTGTAAGGGCACTGGACGATATTCCGTGTACACCACATGGCATGGCTGCACGTAAAGAAAATGAAGCCTAAATGTCATCTAATTAGCGGTGAGAAGAGCACGGGTGCTTATTTCACAACATCGCAAAAGAAATGCCTAGTTGCATAACAGGCTACCTTGAAGCTCCGCACATAAAATACATTAGGTTTCTGCAAATAACACAACAGCTTTGGTTAAAACCATTTCGGCTTTACCCATCAAGCTTTACCATGAGCCATCGTTGAACATAAAAAAAAGTGACTGCAGTCATAGCTGCAATGAGCTTGGTAACAAGCACAAGCAAAAGAAGCTAACGCCAATGGTTGTACTGAACAGAAGCAAGCCTGGCTTTTGAGGAGACAAATTCATGGAGCCTTAATTTTTTCAAGATCAATGTTTTCTGGTGAGCAGTAAAGCAAAAAGTATCAAAACTATAGATCAAGGAAAACTTTAAGACAGGCAGTTTTTTAAGTTCTTACATCATTGGAGATGCAGAACAAGCAGATGTTTGTGGGAACACTACTGAGCCGGTTTGAGTGATACAGAGCATGCAGTGTCCCTGATCAGCAAATAGAGTATGTCTAGGAACGTACGAAAACTGCCAGGCATGACTGCTGCGTAAGCTTGAATCACAACAGTTCTGCATTCCCTCACCTGTTTATGCAGGTGACAGATCCATTCGGCAAACTGCTTCGCATTAGGGATGGTGGCAGACAGAAAGACGTAACGGACATTGTCGGGGAGCAAGATGATTGTCTCTTCCCAGACAACGCCCCTTTCTGCAATGACCCCAATGCGAGACATATTGTTCACGGTTAGTGTCAGTTAACTGGTTTCCAAAGACAGCACTGTGAATTTAGTGCAATGCATAGACAGAGAATGAAATAAAGAGCAAAAAAATCAACAAATGAGAACACAAACATACAAAAATGAAAGCAGAATCCAACTTTGAACGCATCTGCACCAGCGGCATTCTTTCCCAAATGCCATGCTAGTACATTATAACGTATCCATTTCCTAACTGCATAACGTGGCAATGGCACACCTTAAAATCCTGGCATCAGTAGCGAACCAGGTTCTTTTTAAAGACGATAGTCTTTCTTGGGGACTTTTGACACAAAAATTTTAGTCTGTCTGTGCGTTTATCTGTACATTTGTCTGTCCGCCTTTAGCGGTACCCTAAACGGCACGAAAGTGGCCAAACGATACTCTAAACGACCGACCCCATCCGCAGTGCTCACCAATATTGCTCAAGATTCAGCATTCATACTTGTGCGATTGTCAATTAAAAAGCAATTACTGTGCATATCTGAGGCACCATAACAATACGTCAATATTCTGTACATGTGTCTCTTACTAGAAAAGGCATACATAAGTAATTCTAAGGACCGTAGCGTTCATCACGTTGCGCTGACCATGCAACGCTTCCATGAAAAGGCAAGTGTTTCCAACGCTTTGCTAAGACGACACGGTGGTGGCACCTACACGTCGCTTTGTGTTCTACACCTTGTCACCTCCGAGACGGGCGGGCAGGACGCCCGCTTCGTTTTTCAAGATAACTGCCAGATAGCGCTCAAGTCTCACATGTGACGTGACGATGCGCTCGTGCACCTCCGTTGCACACTCGAGGCACTCTAACACAGCGCCTCCAGAATACCATTCACCGATTTTTTTGCACAGAACATCAAATAAATGTTTTGTTCACTCTCTTCAGACGCAAGACTATCCCCTTTAAACGACATTTGCAGTGTAACATGCAGATGCGGGGCCAATTTTTTTTTTTTTTTTTTTCGCTATGGCATGAACTTGAAACCTCTCAGACGATAAACCCTCTTTAAAACGTTGTCTGTGAAGTTCAAAGAGCTTGTAAATTACAGAATCCTGCTTCTGCAGTGTTACACTGCTAACATGTCGTTTAACTTAGCGAATTATGCCCCAGAGCTGAAACCTACAATTACGAGTGGATAAAAAATAATCAAACCAATAATATTAAACATTTATTTGCTCCCGCTCTTTTGTTGAAATCTACTGGGCTCAAACAGATGGAACGAGGCCGACGCAATACAACACAGCGTCTGCGACGTGTTTCGACCCCTGTGTCTCGTCCATGAGCACTCTAAATTTTAAAAAATTACTACCAACTAGCCCAACCACCAGTTGCTTAATCATTTTCCATCAACAGCGCAGATATGCTGGAATACTTAACCGTGCTATATTTAGCTGAAACAATTTTACGGGTATCTCACCTTTGTCTCTCATGTAGTGAATCTCGTCAAAGATGACCCAGCCCACCTCCCGCATGATTTCAGACCCCCTGTACAGCATACTTCTCAGAATCTGGCAACAAGAAAGAAAAGAAATCAGGCAGAAAACCTCTGCATGTAGAGGCATCTTGTAAGAAGGGCAGTCAATCCAAAACCAACTCACTTCTGTCGTCATTATAAGGCAGCTGGCACTGGGGTTGATGGTCACATCACCAGTCATCAAACCCACGTCCTTAAAGTCTTCCGTGAACTGCCGAAATTTCTGGTTGCTGAGTGCTTTGATGGGTGTCGTGTAGATCACCCGCTGCTTCTCTTGCAGCGCCAATGATATCGCATACCTGGCCAGACAAGCGGCACATTTTGTACTTCCAAATTGGTTAAAAACTCTATAACATGTTGACCTGTACAGCCGTGGCCCCGTCTGTGTTGAACACACGAGCAGCTAGTTCTTGCTTTGAGGTGCGACACCTAGAGGCAGTTCCGGGCTCTGACGAGGTCAGCCTGACTACTAGGCCGTGGACATTACGTCAAGAGTCCGAAACTGCCTCAAGGTGTCAACCCGCAGAGCAAGAACTGACTGCTCGGGCGCTATCCACAGATGTGGCCGCAGCTGTAAACTCAAACCTCATCATAACGAAGTAGCATTTTACATGAAAATAAGTTCATAAGATGTGAAAATTCGCTATAAATGGCTACTCCTAACACTGTATCTATTGCAAGAGTATTCTTCATTTACTTCGTTATAACCAATATTTGTTATATCTAGGTTTGTTACATCAAGGTTTGAGTGTAGCTAGCTAAGAAACCCAATAGAAGGTCATCAACCTTGGGCATCTTTATTTCACATTGCATTAGAAACAGGTTGGGCATAAAATTGCACTCAAATTAGGATTTTGGATCGAAGATCAACACTGTGCTGATGCTGCCACGGAATTTGTCAACATTCTATCGGTTTTTAGTGCCCCGAAATACTAGCAGACCATTCGCCAACAGGTAAACCTCGCACGGCGGTTGCACTGCCCGATGGCAAAACATAACAATACTGTCGCCTCCAAGATCAGCCCAATGCAAGGATGGGCAGAGCACGCAAGGTTAAATTCTACACGCGAGAATTAGAATTGGCTATGTCCAAGAATGAGAAAACAAAAAAAAGACTTATTCAAGATCGACGTACTAGATCTAGTTCACTGGGAAACACCATATGTTAGCCCCATTGTTGAACACTTTTCATTGAGTGCATCGAATAGGTCCCCTTTTGATGATAGCAGCAGTTCTTAAAAGACATCATGAATGTTCTTTTTGTGATTGGTCTGCATGATATTAGACTTCCATCATCCCTTGAGAAGTGCATTTGGAGCAATTAATGAGAAGAAATATACAGAATCAAAGGGCACTGATTCTCTGCAGAACAAAAGACCATGATTATCTTCGCCAATCTAGCCAAACAAACTGTGTCCCCTATTAAGTTAATATACTTGAAATTGGATGTATGTGTTCGTTTCAGGCTAATCCAACCCAACTGCGCCAGACGACCCACATACTCAGCCACAACAGTTTTTCCAGCCGAGGTGTGGGCTGATACGAGGACGCTCTGGTTGTGCTCAAGACACAGGATGGCCTCCTCTTGGAACGGGTCGAGGACAAACGGGTAGTCTCGTGCTCTGGGGCCCTCTCGGTCCCGTTTCATGGGCACGTACTCCACTCCATCAGGTACCGCCACCTAGCGAGGCAAGAGGGAACCACCGGGCGTCAACGGCAGTTTCTGACGATAGTTATAGCGCGAGAACAAAACGACGACACAGAGACAGCTATAACTATCGTCATGCCATACCAACTAGCCCAAGCTGCCACACTTCGGCAGTTTCTGCTCCTGTCATTACATACGTGATAGTATTGAACCATGGCTGAGCCCTTTTTTAATAAGTAGGAGGTTTTAAACAACAGCAGACTTGTCACGCAATTTACATTGTGTGACGCCTGGTGATTATTTTACTCTTGTACCACACAACACTACATGTGTCAATGTGATTCCTTGCCCAACGTGGTTTGCTTGCGAAGGAGTTACAAGCGGCAGCATATCTCTGTAGTAGAATACTCGACTGCCGTGCATAGGGCCCGGTTGTGTGCCCCATTTGTTCCTGGATATTTTTTTTTTTAGTATTATTGTGCACCATGGCAGACATCGTCTGCAGTTGAGTTAGGCACCTTCCTGAGACTTGGGAAGGTACCGGAAATTTTTTTTCAACCTATTTACTGGCCTCAGCTTATCTTCCAGGCAAATTCTGAATGTTTGGTATTTAACGAATGAATAAATCCACAAGTTACATTAACAGCTACTAAAGTTTCATACCATTGAACAGAGTCAACCTGCGCGCGCACGTTTTTTTTTTTTTTAGACAACTGCCCACTTTGATGACAAAGAAAAAACCAAGGTTGAAACTTGAGGAATCACTCGTTTAACTGGCGCACAGATCGGTAGCCGGGAAAAAGACCGAAACCCAAACGCTTCCCGGAGCGTAACATCTCCCCCCCCCCCCCCCCACGGCGATTTCTAACGGTTGTACTTAAGACAGTTTATCAAGCCAGCTCACCTCGTGCACGCAGCCTTCCACGGACTCCACGCTATGCACATGAACGCGCGGCAGATAATCAGCAGGGCTGAAATTCAAATCACGCCACGTTAGCAACAACTACGCCGGGTAGCGCACATGCTGCGCGATGAGAAACAAAAGCTAAACCAGCGACACACGCGCTTGCAGCTACTCACTCAAAGTCGTCCAATATGTCCGAAATCTTCCTCTTCTTGTTGGGTTCTTCTTCGAAGTCGTTGTCCAAAAGTCGCTTGCCATCAATAATGGCTCGCACAAAGTCGCCGGCGCTGCGAAAACAGAAAAAAAAAAAAAAAGCTCCCGCTGGAAAAACGGTGTCCCCGATTTCAGCATTGCGCGCGTGCGCAGACCCCCTAACCGCATTTTCGCATAAAAGGCGTTGCGGCAAGTCGTCGAATGCAGCACACAAAACAAACGCTGTCGTATTCACTGAACGATCGAATGCACCGTGGTTCATGCGCGCAGCGTGACACCACAAGGAGTGCTACCCCGAGTGCTCGTGCGTCCATAACAGCGCGGTGTCAGAGTTTAACGAAACGAAGACAAACCCAGTATCGTCGCGCTTCCGTTCTTCATTCTTTAGGTTCTCTTTTTTCACTGTAGCTGCGGCTAAAAACTTAGATTTAGGCGCATCGTCAAAAACACTGAACAGGTCGTCCATGATGGTTACAGCAGAATGGTTTTTGCTAGCGATCGCGCTAGCGCTGCCGTGTTTAAAACAAGAACATTGTTTAAATCGTTTTGCAAAAAAAAAGAAACATTTACGAACAAAACAGTGCCATTAAAAAGGAATATGCAATTTATAGAACTTGACTAGACGCTTTTAGTATTGTTTATTAATAGGGATGTGCGTTTGGCAAACTTTTCTGAATTTGGTGTAATCCAAGTTTCAACTCGACAACAACGTGGCCACGTGGTTTGTGACGTCGCTTCCTTTTCACAAGGTGGCTGCCGCTGAGTTGCTGCGATTTCTTTCGCTATCCACCGCAATCTAACATAATCAAGGGCTTCTTTCGCTTCTTGCGTCGCTTACATACTACACACAATGCCTCCGAAGTTCGATCCGACGGAGATTAAAGTCGGTAAGTTGACACTCTTCTTAAGATCTGCCCCGGATGATACTCATGCCGACAAGTGCGCCTGCTTTCGACAGGGCTCGTTCGGTCTGCATCGTGCCGCTTTCTGAAGCTGACAGCGTTTGGTGCACGATTTTTTTTTTTTTTTTTTATGGTGCAGTGTGTCTCCGAGCTGTTGGCGGTGAGGTGGGTGCCACATCTGCTTTGGCTCCCAAGATTGGTCCCCTTGGTCTGGTAAGTACGATCCCCATGTTCATTGCTTTGACAGCCTAGTGGCGTAGAAGTGTCGTGCTTGCGGCCAACCCTGCCTTCCGTATTGATTGTGACGTTGAATCAGACTTTTGTTTGACGCTTTGCGTCCCGTAAATGTTAAATGTCATGAGCCGGCCGGCAAGTTGGCGTAGGAGTTCGTTGCAGAACGCTGTCGTGTCTTGCCAGACCCGGCAGCTTCGTAGGAAACGTAACTAGTAGCCGTACGATATCAGTGTCACAGAACACGGAGCAATATCGATAACGCTTTTCTTGTTATATTCGACACCCGCCACGCTGGTATAATACCCAAAGGGCGTACCCGAATCGCGGCAGCGGCATTTTCGGTTGAGGCGTTATGCTAGAAGCCAGTTTACTTGGGGTTCAGGTGCACGTTAACACCAGATAGTTAACACCACTTCCCGAGCCCCCACCACTACGGCGTCTCTTATAATCATATCGTGGTTTTGGGACGTAAACCACAAGTTTACGTTTATATTCGAAGTTGTGCAGTAACTGTGGTACAGACAGCGTTTGTTTCAGTATGCTTAACGCTCAACCGTGTGCCCCTGTTTACAGTCGCCGAAGAAGGTCGGTGATGACATCGCCAAGGCGACGCAGGACTGGAAAGGTCTGAAGATCACAGTCAAGCTCATCATCCAGAACAGGCAGGCCACCATCGAAGTCGTGCCCAGTGCTGCGTCGCTCATTATCAAGGCACTCAAAGAGCCGCCACGCGACCGCAAGAAGGTCAAAAACGGTAAGGAGCCCACTTTATTATGGCCATATTGATTCCCCAAATCCCAGCAGTCTCCTGGGTTGCTCTGTTAGCCCTATACATATATCTTGCAAGTACGTTACACCGCAGAAGTCTGGCATATGATCTCGGCATATGCACCGTCGTCACCGAGCAAGCGGCACCGAACGGGGCAGTCGTGCTGTGTGGTTTCTTTCTCATTTCCTGTCAAATGCCGTACCTAGCAATGGCAATTTGTGCTATGTTTGACTGCCGTACAAGAAGTATATATGAAATAGAAAAGAACCAGGTGCAGGGACATACTGTTTTCCAGAGGTGATAACAAACCCGTGCAACCACAGAAAGAGTTGCTCGGGAAACGGAGAACATGGCTCATAATGAATGCGCGCATAGCGGGGAACTACCTTATGACTGAACAATGTATGTGCGTGCAGGTGTCACTTCGTAACAAAAAGTATATTTTCAAGTTTCATGCGAAGTTGTTTAACCCATTACATGCGACAACACGGACTCTGACATTACAAACACTGAGGATCAGAGTTTCCCATTCAACACTGCTTTGTTGCTGTTTGCATAATGTCCCGAATGATTCTTCTTCGCCATATGTGCAAGGCAAATGATAGAAACGCGCGTACTAGGCCAAACAACCTGTTTCACAAATGCCGATTCGGCGCAGTCACCGACATGTATGTGCTTTGTGCCTTCGTAATGGTGGACCCAAGACAGGACCTGATATCACTTAAAAGTTGTGTTTATATACATTTATCAACTAGCCCACCATTCTTAAAAGCAAAGCCTTGTGAAGCTAGAAAATTGGCTTGCAAAGGCAGAACATGCTTGCTGCCGTGTTCCCGTTGCATTGGTACTATGGAGTGATGTGGCTTTAAGGGACAAAGGTCACTGCATGGTGCCATGGCTAGTTCAAAGCCACAAGTTCCTTGCACGTGCTATCTCCGCAGCTGTCTGCAGCGAGTTGGCTCAGAGTGCCCCCGCTAAGCTGCAGCGATGGGTAGCAACATATTTAAGGGGAGATGCTACTCGAAGACACTTTTTTTTTTAATTATTCACCCCAGAGCAATGAAATTTGAGCTGTTTATGGAACTTAGTATGCTGATTTCAAATATATCATTAGTGTTCTTGCAATAAGCATAACTTTCACAGCTCTGCGGCATGACAAACCTTTTGCCCCCCCCCCCCCTCTTTCTATCCCTAAACTTTTGTAATTTTTTACTAATGCAAATAACTAATAGTGAAGCACATACAAAATATGTAATAGACGTGAAAAAAAGTCCGTATTTCACCTACCCCAGTAAAGGTGTACATACAATTTTTCGTTATATAATAAAATGTTGAAATTTAAACTAGATAATTGTATTTGTCATACTTTGAAAAAGATTTGGGCAAAATTTCATGCAGATTCGAGCACTAGAAGTGTCTGAAAAAGGAGAGTGAAAGATGTCATTAAATGCAATGAAATTTGCACACCAAAAAGAACTATCCTTCTTGTAGTGACCACTGCCACTAAAATACACCAGCATCATGAGTTTGTCCCTCTTGGCTTTTTCAAGCAGACTCCTCACAGAGAGGGCCATGAAACACTTGCCAAACTTCTTCCGCTGTATCTGGCGGGGCCTTGTGCCGACTGCAAACTAGGAAGAAGTTTCACGGTACTGCGAAATCTAAACTAAACTAAGCAGATTCCATTTTGCGGCTACATTTGTGCCACATACCGTTGTACATTATGTCAATGTCATCCCCGCTAAGTTCCTTCGTTCTCGCAAGATTGGCGCTGACGTCATCCATTGCCGCATCACGAATTTTCCTGCTCATGGCTGTGAATGACTTGATGCATTGGTTTTACAAGCCAACAACTTCCGCACATCGAACCAGCTGCTCGTAGCCTACTTCTACAGATTGAGCGCGCCACCACAACGGCTTTCACGTGCGAGGAATGGCTTTTTTCATTCATAACAGAAATGAAATACATGAGAAAACCAGTTTTCAGCTGCGCTGCTCGTCAAGACATGGACCCAGCAAATAGCACATACAAACGTGCAGCGGCCAATCGCGGTCCCCAGTTCGTACCCCGCGATAAGCCAGTCGCGGCGCTCGAAGAACGCACAAAAGCGTGCTTCTTTTTATTATTTTTGGCGCTGCATCAGGGAGAGAAACTGTCGTTATTTGAACACTGAGGCTTGACTCTTCGCCTCATTCGATCAACAATGGCGAGCGGCGACGCATTATCGGCGCCAAGGTGCTTGAAGACTGCACACTTTCGGACTTTTAACAGGCACCTTATGCTCTTTAGACGCAATTTTAAATCAATTCCAGTGAAGTCTTGACATGCATTTTTTTTTTTTTTTCCAGAGCAGTTGAGGTACTAATCTTATCAAAACAGGGGAAAATAATAAAATCTGTAATTTTGGAGAAAACGCGCATTTTTTTACCCGCATCTCCCCTTAAAGCAAGGAGCAAGTACACCAGAGCGTTGGTGAAAGCAAAGGAAGGGTGCATTGATGCCACCACCTCAACTGCTTAGTCAGCCCTCACAATGTTATGACAATTGAAGCTGGGCCTATTTTTCTTCCTTCTTCCTCATTTTTCCCATTATTGTAATGTACTATTGAGCTTGCACGTTCTGCCTGCCACTTGCAGTGAAGCACAGTGGGAACCTCAGCTTCGACGAGATCCTCACGATCGCACGGACGATGCGGGCCCGCTCCATGGCGAGGAGCTTGTCGGGCACCGTCAAGGAGATCCTGGGGACGTGCCAGTCTGTCGGCTGCACCGTCGATGGCTCCCACCCACACGACGTCATCGACAAGGTGAACAGCGGTGACGTCGAGGTGCCAGAGGTGAGTTCGCAGTATCTGATGTCACTCTAATCCTTTTAGCTTGCACACAGTCTTTTTCTTTCCTGAACTGAGAGCAAAGTTGCAAAAACCTTACTTCTGCAAAGCAAGGTTTTAGATTGGGCTGTTTTGTAACCCTTGCGGGGTCTCGAATCGGGGAGCGAGCGCCACGTCCTTGGAGTGAACGGACACAGCAGGCACTGTCGGTACAAACCAAACAACATGCATTTATTTAACTAATTTCAGAACGACGATATCGTCCTCCAAATCGATACATTAATCGTTATCAACAAGCTACCACACAAACAACATACCGTATTTACTCGCATAATCCTCGCACTTTTTTTTTTGCCAGAAAACCGATGCATAGTTGGGGGTGCGAGAATTACGCGGGGAAAACTTTCCACGAAAACGCAGAGAGCAAAAAGAAAACGAAGTGGCCACAAATCGGGATTCTCACACCATCAACTTACAGCAAGCTTTAAGAAGTACTAATTAGAACTTACCTCAGCAATAAAAGCAGAGGTTCAACACAAGGCAAGATTTATTTGAGACACAAAAGGTGGAAGCAAATAGTCGAGAATTAAAATACTATACGCGAAGCTTGTCGGCGTTGCAGGCGTAGCGGTAGCGGTTGGTGCTCAACAGGAGCCCTCAAAAGGTAAGCGTAGGACGTCAGTATTGGGCTGATGGCTATGAAACAGAATCGTCCGCAGTTTCTTTCTGAAGAAATAAAGTTTACCATCAATCCCAGTTTTAGGCACACGGCAGGCCCAACGCGTCTTGGTGGCTTTCAGCTGCAGTCACCAGTAGCGAACACAAAACTCGTAGGCTCCGAAGGACCTACCGGCGGCCCTGTTGCCGTTGTTTAGTGCATGGTCTATCGCTTGCAACTTGAAGCAGCCGTGTGTCTTCAGTATCACCCCATAATTTCAAGATTACCGACACAACATACAAAACACACCGCAACGCGCACTAGCCACTTTGGCTTGGCTTGGATTGGATTGAATCTCCGTGCAATAGTACGCTTGATGCTTAAGAGATGACGTGCGCTATCATTATCAGTGGCTGAAACGAGCAGACGACATTGTTGCTTGATGCATTGTTTTTGAGGGTGCAATAATTACTCGAGCAAAAAAAAAAATCATATTTTTCTTGGGCGATGTGGGGGGTGCGAGAATTATGCAAGTAAATACGGTAATACAATAACATGACAAAGACAATAACACATAAGGCAGCGTTGCCAAAGCTTGACTTTCCACGAGGGCCCCAGACGCGCGGGCCATGGTACAGCGCGCCGAAGACCCACGCTAGAGACAACCGTTTGCAACAACCGCCACTCGCAGAAGAGACTTGCTCAACTCTCGCCCGCCACCAAAGCCCCCCTTTTGCCAGGGGTCACCGCCGACGCTACCACTGTAACAACCATGATGGTGGTAGTGGTGCTCAACGTGAACACAACCCCACCTATCGCCCGGTAATTGTTCCCCGAAATGTGACTTTGGGCGAGACGCGTGCGCCATGCGTCACAAACAACTTTACAGGGGGTGTCAGCACCCTTCATCCTGCACACCTTGTGTGTTTTATTATTTGTGTATTGTTAGTTTCAATAACTTTCTGCGTCTTGCTGATGCCCATTGTGCGGGGACTTGCTTAGACTCTCTGATGATTTTGCCGACAGTGTTTTTCAATAAATGCTCAGTTGGAAGTTAGCGTTCGTGCTTGTTCTTTTTTGTTTGTTTGTAGCACACTCCTACCCCTTTTGTGCATTTTGTTGAAGATTGACTTTCATCGGTCTTGAGAGCTTTCATTAGTGCTTGTCACATAAAACAGTTAACACAGTTGCTTCTTTGAATGTTAGTTGTACTGCAGTGGAGGTTAACTCATGGTGTGACATTTTGTCTGTTTGCAGGAGTAAGCACAGTATCAAGCTTGTACAGACTTTATTTTGCAAGTTTGAACTTCAGAAAAAAAAAATAAATGGAAGAGGAAAGAAGCCCCCCAAAGCATCTGCGTTGTTTGTAATCACTTTACTAGTGGCTACTACTGCTCTAAAGTCCGAAACATGCAACGTTTTCCCGGCGCCGCTTCTTCCCTCGGCATCATCGAGTCAACGCCGCCTGAGAGGGTGGCGAACCATATGACCAGCGCCAAAGCTAGCGTCAGCTCAGCGTTGCAGAGTCTGTCGAAGAGAATGAACCAGAGACCTCGCAAAGCAGTGTGCAGTGTTCGTCAATGCAGCAACAAGACATATTCCTGAAAAGCGGTTTCTTGTCTCCTTTTCAGTTCTGAGGCGAGAAAATCAAGTCTCAGTACCACCGAAAACTTTTTTTTTCTAGCGCCAGCTGTTAGGAATAGGAAGAACCAGAAACTTGCAATTTACGGCCCCTGAGCTGGGAAGTTGTTTATCTATTCAGCCATTACACTCAGGCCTGCTAACCCTACCGATGGACTTGAGTATGGCTCTCCAAAACAGTTTGAAGAAATCCCGAGCGCTTCCTATCGAAGCTTCTGAGAACACGCTAAGTCAAATACAAATATCAGTTGACAATAGACCTCTCCCTGTTTGTAAACAGTGTGACGTCACTGCGGGCACCTCGCCCCCTACACCCTCTCTCGGAGCAGGTGCTGGTTGGCAAGAAAGGTCCCCGGCGGCATCTTTATGCATAGCAGAGCTGCGTGTCTGCATTCTTTCAACAGAAATTTCTACATTGCTATGTTATAAAGTCACAGCTTTTGAAAGAAGGGTGGGGGGGTCGCGAAAGGGTCACTGCTCATGGTGTGGGAATTTGCTCGTCTTAATTAGACGAAGAAACTGTTTAGAGTACTGAGAGATGCGACTAGCACGCAGTGGGCTTCACCCTTGCAGATGGCAGTCATAAAAAAAATCTGATCTTTTTCGAAAGCGAAGATTTTGAATGTACACGATTACTGGCACTTTGAGAAATATTTGCATGGCATGGATGTAAACTTACTCAATTTCCATCGCGGCATGTGCAATGCAGTTTTAAACGAGGTACAGCATTGGCGGCAGCATGGCTTTGAGCTGCTGTGCCCGACGTCACAGATAAGATTCTCACTCATTGCCCAAAAGAGTCATCGGAGATGAATTTAAAAAGAAACGCTTCTTGCCGTGGGTTAGACTGGGGTTAACATATCCTCGTGAAAATCAAAGGGAAGTTCTGCCACTGCGTTTCTCAATAACTCAGTGAAATTTTGTGATGTAAAACCCGACATATTATTAATATATCGTATTATCTGGCACAGTTACCTTGCTGCATTCGTCACCTATAACGTGTTTTCGTACCTATCGCTCTCTTAGGCCTGATACACAATCTTCTAACGCGCATTGTAACTTCATAAGGATCGGGCTTCACTGTTTCCATTAACACGTATCAGGTATCCGATATTACGAGTTATAGCCTTGGTGAAGCAAATATGCAGATTTGGCAACGCTACGACATGCTTATAGCTCACGCGTAGTCATATATCTCTAGGAGATCATGCACTTATATTCTTCTGCACGCCGCACATACGCTGAGATGTACCTTTTCACAGATGATCGCGTCGAATGTATTTTTACCTTGACTACAATGTCAGATCGTAAAGTAACATCGACAATCGGTTAATGAAACCGGCCCACAACGAATACTAGTGTCTTCATCGCATTATTCACACTGCACACACCATGCACAATAATCCCACTTTTACCGTCCGTGAAGATGAATCAATATTGTCGATGCCTTTCAACACACACTACATACCACAGTCAACACTGCACATTTTCGAAGAAGATGCCGCTGTTCCTCGCACAGGCCGCCACGTGTGTTCACTTCTCGTAGATAAACAGCCAGTCAGCATGGCGAATATTTCATCACGCACTTTATCACACACCTAGATGTCACATGTCACAGCTAATATTGCCACTGTGAGATGAAAATTAAGCTTTCAAAAAGAAAAAAAAAATTGCACTGAGCGACAGCACCCAACTCAGTCACCGGCGGGAGTGTTTTGCCAACCACCACCGTGCACCGGTGACGTCACGCTGTGATGTACCCCTGTAGAGGTCTATTTTTGGGTCACACAGTGACCACTTAACAGCTGCAACGATGCTGTTACGCAGCGGAAGTCGCTGGCAGCCGTGCGCTGATTGGTTCTCCATTCGTCAACTCTCTTCCAGCACCGGCACTGCAGATATCTGAATCACCCAGAAGTGGACGATTTGACCACTGGCAGCATTGGCGCCAAGTGACGCGAGCGTACAAAATGTCGGAAAAACGCTGCACATGTTTCGGGCTTAATACTGACACAGCTGATCCACTATTTATCTACTATAGCATCTTTCGTCCACTTTTTTTCACAATTACATTACGTCTACTAAAATTCCGTTTGCTCTCCTTCGCATCATCTGTTAGTTTTCATTTTATGCCTAAAAAAAAGAGCCCTTGAATTTTCATTTCTTTCCTTCATTTACTACTGGCTGTAGCACTTCTAGGACTATTTCTTTTCTCGACTCTTTAAGTAGTCTTTGTATCACGTTGTCGAGTAGTTCCTCTCCTTGTAGAAACTCTGCGATGTTGTGAACTGTGATGGGTATTCTGTGGTCGGTGACGCGGTCCTGCGCGTAGTTGTACGTTCGGATTTTCTCGGAACGGCCTCTTGACCCTACCTGATGTGTATAAAAGGAAACAAAACAGATCGAAAGGCATATTCAGATTGTGCATTTTTAGAGTTCATTAATAAAGATTCTGGAGTAAACATAGACGTAAATTCATTGCACCTCTAATACCTTCGTCACATTGGCAAATTCAATGTCGATTTGAGCTAGTGCGTTTACGCACTCACAATTAGTGTACCAGGGGTGTACGTATTCCTTTCTCTATTCTTTTTTGCTGCAATTAGCAGTCTGCGATTGGTTGAAGTGGCGGCAAACAGCATAGAAAAATAGAAACGTTTCCTGATTGAACCCCTAAATGTCATTTTAGCTACGCGAGAGGGGGAAGTGTTTACGGAAATGATGGCAATAGCGATTGGCAATTCAGTAGCATGGCCGTTATAATTTCAGGTAATGTGTTCAAATGAACTTCATGTACAAACAGAACAGCTGTGGCCATTGCACGGCATGTGCTGGGCATAACTCAGGCGTTCATAGCTGTAAACTGCCTGAGCGAGAATAGCACCGGTTTTTGTAGAGCTGTGTGGATAGCAAAATTTTGGGTGCGAGGTGAATTCAAATATCGAAGTGCGAATTTAAATACTTTTTGAATATTTTTAGAATACTTTGAAGTAAAATTGCACGGAAAAAATTAGAGAGGATTTTTAAGCATATTCTTCTGAGTGTTTCTTTTCCCTAGGCGGCTGATGGGCTGGCTGGTGGGGTGGCGTTTCATTGTTGTCTTATCCAAAAATGAGGCAATGCAAAGGCTGAATTATATTATTGCAGATTATTTGGTGCAACAAAAATGTTGCCAACACATTACACGTGAAAGGCGAAGCAGTTATTTCCTAAGCTTGTTCACGACAGGGTTCGTGCTCGTTTGCGTGGCGAAAATTTAAGCCTTCAAAATTTTTCAAAGCTATGTCGGCGAATTTTCAAGAACTGCATTGTCAGAAACCCAATCAACATATTTCGGGGGAGGACTTAGGCTTAAAATGGATTCATCGAAGAAGGGCAACATCGATGATTTGATTGATTTGTGGGGTTTAACGTCCCAAAACCCCCATATGATTATGAGAGACATCGTATTGGAGGGCTCCGGAAATTTCGACCACCTGGGGTTCTTTAACGTGCACACAAATCTGAGCACGCGGGCCTGCAACATTTCCGCTTCCATAGAAGGGCAACATCGATGGAGCAAACATCGGAAACAGAGCTGCAATTACATTTTCTTTCTATAGGACATTCAATCATATTTCCTTGTAGTTACTTGCAGCATTCATCAATTCTAGTAATCGCTACTCCTTAATTTTGATATGAATGTCCAGCTGCTGCTTGGCCTGGGCAATCTTCGAAAGGGTGTTTGATTTGATGATGCTTGTCGAGCCGCTAGTTGCCTGTGCCTTTTCCGCATACCAGCCTGCTGTAGCAGCTAATTCCTTGAGAGTTGTTTTTAGTTTCTCTTTTGTGAATGTTTTGACCTCCTTCTGCATGCAACATATTTTATTCCGTTTATAATCCCTCTGCTGCTCCTGCCTTTTTAGAGTTTCCTGAAATGCACAGTGTTGGCTTCTCTTGTGATAGGCACATTACATATGCCACCTGCTACATATACGACACCACAAATAATGTGCTGTGGAATGCGCAGAAACGTTAATGAAAAATTTAGAAAAGGTAAATTCAAAGATATGCAAATATCCCAGCACTTTCAAGGCCTTGAAAATAATTTTTTCTAATTCAAGGGTTTTCAACGGCCTGCATGAGCCCCGTCACTACTGAACTGTGGAAGCCCAACTGATGTGATGAACAAGAGTGTGCACCCTTCCAGTACGCAATGCCAAATCTGCCTCCTAGACATCCTATCTTTTATAAAAGCGCCTAAAATTTTGGATGCTAAAACTCATTGGCATCCAATCTTTTTATTGACTTCCTGTCCAAATTTCAGTTCCAAAACAGCATAATTGAGCCCCCACCTCAGGCACATCTATTATCTACATGTCAAAACCAACGTTTTCTCTAGTGAATACATTTGCAACTGCAGAGGTTACAAAAACTGAAGGTTATCAAAAAAAAAAAAAAAAAAAGGTTACCACAGCTGCTTCACACCTTACCTGAAGTTTTCTTTGGGCTGAGTGTTGGCTGAGCTGCTTTTCGAGTTGCATCTGGTAGAGCTTTGCCCGCAGTATTTTCAGGGCTATCTCCTTGTTCATGAGCTGCGAGCGCTCCTTGCCCGATTCGACCATGGTTCCTGTTAAACGGAGACGTACATTGGTTTTGAGAACTCAGCAGTCTTTGGTCAAACTTACGAAGCACTGGAATCGCACCTTGCAAGAAGATGCAATCTGTTTTTAGATGCACGGTTTTAAGAGGGAGCAGTTCAGGCTTGCTTGTATTGCGTAACCCTTCGTGTAACGCCGCAGAAATACAGTAAAAGACAAGAGAGGACACTTGCAAGCACTTGTCGGTGTTCCTGCTTGTCCTAATCAAAAAGATTCAAAAGGACACCACATGGACACCTAATCAGCTTTTCCTTACTTTAACCTCTTGCTCTGTGTGTTTCTGCACTAGTATTACGCTAAAAATTGCACATAGCCAAATCGCAGTAAACTACAAATATCTGAATCTACTGAGGTACAGGAATTTGACTGTATGCTTCTAAAAAGCCCCAATTAATAAGCATATAAAGCTCCTCTCCGCTGTGCCATCTTCCGCAGCTTGTCTTTGAAATGTTGTCATAAATGCAGAGGTTTGTAAATTTTTACAAACCTGGGCGTCTACATATGATTTCTAGCATACACTTGTGTGAATGCTTATTGCGACTTGGAACATTTTTCACTGGAATAAGTACAGTCGGGCTATAAGGGATCTCGGCGTCTTACCAGTTGGTGTGTGTAGTATCTGTACTGCAGACTCGGTCTTATTCACATGCTGACCTCCTGGGCCACTAGCTTTCTTTGTTTTTATGACTAGGTCCTTTGGGTTGACATCAACCTCAACCTGTTCTGGCAAAGAAAGAAAAAAAGGCGGCAGTGAGCAACCTCCTACAGAAGGTTATGTCTAATGAGAAAGTTTGGAAGGTTTGGAAGTCAGTATAAACATAACAAGGGATATGAAAGGGAGTGAGAAAAAAAAGACTTTTAGGTTTGTACTTAAGGTTCACTAACAAACAGGCTGTGGTCATAAGGCATGCACTTTCTGTAATGATCACAGGCCTTGTAGTTGAAGGACCCCTAAACCACCTTCGATAAACATTTCAAGTAAACGGGCACGTCGAGTTTATAATGCCATCACGATCAGCAATGCTACATGCCACCACTGCCCCACAAAATCTAAGCAACAATCTTTTCTACTTTGTGGGTCTTTTAGCAATCCTCATCCACTTGGCGTTCTCTGTGATGGAAACATGTTTGCTCGTCATTCACAAAACCCGTTTGTCTGCTCGCAAGTATGCGCAACGCCCACAGCTCTTCCTCCTCTCAGGGTCAGGAAAAACGATCAACCAAGAGGAGAGATGAGCGTATGAATGGAGTATAACGAAGGAAAAAGCAAAACAAATGAAAACCTCTTTTGCATCATCAAACATGTGTAACTCCACTATTACGGCACAGTTTTGAGGAATTGTCAGGGCTATGTGTTCTTTGTGGATTCGCACACAACTGCAACACCACAGCTAAATTTCGACCGCTGGGTGCACATCGATGCCTATTTTCGAAGGCGAGTTTATTCTGCCATGCAAATATCCTGTATACAAACATGACACTGAACAAGCCTGAAGCTCAGTAAATGGCTCACGAAATAATGTATACTGACAGTTAAAGTCTCTATTTGCATGGTGCAACTAACGGCACTGGCACTATTGTGAGGTCGATCTGCAGAGTGAATTCTTGCAACTTCATGCATCAGTGGAGCTAGAAGTGATGACACCAAGCACCAAAACGATCCAGATGGCCGCTTTTGCGTCGTCAGCAGAGCTACGAGGTGGGACTGCCGTGAAAATGTTACGATATCTTGTGCTAGCACATAACAAGGAGCTCCTACCATGTTGCGACGTCAGGGTACAGTAGGAACTGAAACTAGCGTAGAAAAATATGCCTGTAATTACATTTTCAGGGTGCACTCACACTTCAAGAACATTTCTAAGCTCTTGAGGGCTAGGCTTTTCATTTCATGCGAAAAACCAATACAAAGTTTTTGTGTCTGTGCTCCTTTGAATGCTGCTTGTCGTTTACACTATCGGCTCTACTGCAGTGGGCAGTAAAGTGCAGCAATGTGTGTCATAGCTCCGAAGTGCTCTACTTTAAAGGTGTTTGGTTCTACTACTATGGTCAACTAAAGCACATAATGGCCAATAGATATCTACACGCTTGGGCAGGCCCCACAGGCAAAGAGAAATGCCAGTGCCAAAACAGAACACAACTAATCACTGTCACTGAAAGCAATGACGCTGCTCACGAAAGGCCACACTATTTTCAACACTGTTCCAACCACTGCTGTAAATGGAAACGCTAGAAAGGCATGCGAAAGAATCCTGAAAGTGATGCAATAATGGCCACATTACGATGATACGTGAAGCATAAGAGTAGTGGCCCACTCAAGAGACACACTCGTAGCTGTCGCGCTATTGATGAAACATGGGACTTCAGTCTGAAGGAACTAGCCGTGCTTCTTGTGTAAAAAACCGCATATGCAATGGCGGCACATGTGGCACGGGCACCTCGTTTGGACACAAGACTTACGTTAATCATTTATGTGCACTCTTGGCAAGGGAAGTTCCTGTACATCACTCCTCATATAAATGTTTTATTGCACACAACCACTTCGGTGAATGCAGTTGTACTGTGTTTAACGAGTCGAGTATTTTAGCAGGAACTTCAAAGTATTTTTTTTATTGTTTTAGAAATGCTCACTGCCAGCAGATAACTATTGCGTGCAATTTGAGTGGGTCATTGAATTCGTCTACGAAGAATTATAAAATCGCTGACAATATTATGATTAGATAAATTAATTCCTTTCATGCAAAATACCTTGAAAGTGTATGGCTTTAAACTTGTTGGTACAGCTTGATCTTCCACCAGCGCTCTTTTCTGTGTGTTTCTTTTCTTTCTGTCCCCTCGTTTCTGTGCTATCTTACACAGGTGCAAAACACCCTTCCACATTCTCTAAATTTTGCCTTCAGAACCTTCGCTTGAAATTACACATATTTCACCGTTTAGAAGACAGTCAGTCATATTGCATGTCGCAAAGCGATACACAGCGAGTATATTTTATGACCTATCTCACCTCACTAGGCATTGGCATGACCGCAACGGCCATGGTGCTGGTGTGTATGCGGCCAGACTTCTCCGTGGCCGGCACCCTTTGGACTCGATGGACGCCGCTTTCAAACTTGAGGAACTTCCCTACGTCTCTTCCACCAATGCTTAAAGAAGCGTGCCGCACGCCTCCTGCAAAGTGGTAAAAATAGAAGTGGAATGGTAAAAAAGGCCGACAGTCACTTGACTGCGTTATTAAATGTCTGAGTCTTTATTCCAAACATGCATAGACAAACAAATGGTTAAGGAGAAGAGAAAAAGCTGCTCAATCACGGCCTGACAATGCTCCCTTCCCCCACGTAAGGCAACGCAGCAGTGATTTCTGAAGTTATTCTTTGGCAACAAGAAGTCAATTTTGTCGGAAACAAATCATGCACATGAAAAGATTTCAGCCTTACGCGATAATCACCATACCGTAATTCAGATAATGATATATATGTGCAAACCAAGTGCTCAATCGAGGGGTTACGGTGATAAATGTACAAGTACTAGCAGACCGAGTTCACCTGTGACAGCTTTTACAACTCTCGATTCTCTTCACCACAATTGTTGTTTACTCCTTGCATGTTTTTGGCCTAAGAGGCGATTTCATAGCGGCCCGATTTCTCCTGTTCCGAAATACTGGATTTCTTCTCCCTCCCATTTTGGGAATAAGAGCAGAGAGAAGGAGAGAAGAAGAAAATTCCCAGTATCGGTACGTCTCTCAAATCCTGATGCAATATCCCCTTCCTTAATGAACCACATACAGTAACCTTTCTGCAAACAGAACTCCTATAAAATAGAACATAAGTGTTTTCCTGGTCCCATGAGGTTCTGTTTAACAAGAGTCTACTGTATTAGATATGGTAAAGATTTTCTTTCAAACATTGCATGACGTTTCGTTGAAATGTACTTCGGGCAGACTGCAAGGCCACGTACCTTGGTCGGCGGTTTCGTAGTCCAGTGGTGTACAGGTCCACCCTTTCCACCTGCAGTAGTGCATGTACATTTCCATGATGTCTCCAGTGAACAGCATGGCTTCCTGGCCCCCAACGCCGGCCGTCAGCTCGAGAAGCACCTCGCTCGAGTCGACGGGATCCGGAGGAACTATCTGCTCTAGAATCTGGATGAGGAATGAATTGAAATTTCGGGCAGAGCCAACTGAAGCTGTGCTGTCTGTGCGCATACGAAAGTGACAAGTGAATCACTGGGTTGGGATTAAGTGAGAACAACGTAGCTGATACAACAGTGAAGAGTCGACGTTAGCCAACACTTGCCATACATTGGGCAAACAGATGAAATGTTTTTTTTTTTTTTTTTTTTAAGAGGGTGTCGTTCGAACCAACATTTCGACAAGTGGCTTTGTCTACTTTGGACTGCCTACCTTTGCGCATGCCAATCAGATATGCATCCTGCTCCAACAACACTCTGCGTTCAAGAATTTTTTCTATCTTCGAACTTCAAATTTATCTTGAACTTCTGTCTCATTTGGGCAAACAGCTAACGTATAACAACACTGACTGACATTTGCCAATAGTAAGGCAACACCAGCCAACACTAAAAAGTGTTTAGCCAAATGCTGATGTTCGTCATTATCTAGCCAATGCTATAACCAGTGCTAATTAGTGCTGGCCGTAGTATGGGATTTAATACTGTAGTCCAGGATAGAAGAGTTCACAAATTGCTAGAGAAGTTAAAGGTGATTCTATTAGGCCCTTGCATATAAATGCATAAATTTAGCTTCAGGATGTTCACACAGCTTGCTACAAAAGGGCACAGCCCACCACTCCCATCGTCTGAGTAGCCATTTTACTTTGTTTCGAGTTATGGTGAACAGCATTTGGCTTCAGTAGAGTTAGAGCCTAGTCTTTTTGCTGACGCATGGCCATGACTTGAGTTCCCGCGAACGTGGATAAGCAAGCTCTTATCTTACCATGCTTATCCTTTGTAGCAGATTGTGTTCCATACACTCTGAAGGTGTAAAGAGGCTAATTTAGTTCATTTATAAGCAAGGGCCCTTCTCAGAGAAAACACCCCCTAACTCCTCTAGCAATCCTCACTTACAGTTATTCATTACTATGAACAACACCCCTTAGCACTGGCTATTGTGTTGGCCAGATAATCATGATAGATTGTGACAAGAAAAACATGCATGATTCTTTATACTAGTAATTCACTTCCTCCAAAAATAAAATATGGCATTTTACTTAGCCCTTCTCTATCAATGTTTGGAATGTTAAATGTTTTTTTTTTTTTCATTACTGCTGCTACCTTACATCTTGACAACTGAAAGTGAACAATGGTGTCCTAAACTGATCTTTATCACTCCACTGTAGTACATGTCACATTTGTATTGCTCGCTTTACTCCTATTGTGACAGTCACTTTGCAATATTTTGCTGTCCTTCCTTGCATATGACATTGGAAACTGAACATGATGGGTATCAATTCTCATGCTGCCTATGTAGATGTTTAAAAGTGCACCAAGTCATGCAAACCAGGGAGCTCCCTGTGCAAACTTAGGTACACAGGTGTTAAGATCTTTGAATGTGCAAATCTACTTAATTGTCTTACACCAGCAGTAGATACCAAAGTTTTTTTAGTATGACGATACCGTTCCTCCTTTTCCGGTCATCGACCTTTTTCAAGTGAAGGCAACAACACCCCAAGAGCTTTTTCAAAACACTACTGTGGTACTGTCGCGCTTCACTGTTGCTTGTCGGCCTACACATTGTCAGAGATTAGTGAGTTAAATTTGAATGTTGCTCCCTCTAACAACGTTTATGGCAAACGATTGTTAGAATTCTTCAGAGCTGTAACCTGGAATACTGTGCCTCTATAACTATGAGTAACTTCAACCTTTCTTGTAAACATTCTTTCTTGTCTAGTAATTGTAATTTCTGTCTAGTAATTGTAGTCACCTTTACATACATAAATTGTACATCACTGATACTTCTATATGTATAAAACCACTCATGTCAACTTTCATGTAGTTTCTCTATTAAACAAGCTACAAGCCACATAGGCTATTGGTCCAAATATTATGTATCTTTTGTGTACAAGTCTTAAACTCATTTTTATTCGATTTGATTTAAATGAGACACCTGTCATTCTAAAGGACGCACGAGCAAGAATAGAGAAACATTACCGTACTGCCTTACTGTATTTGTGTACTGCATTCCTGTAACTTGCTAAAACTTTCTACAGATACAATCAGTGGGCACAGGATGATGATGTCACTATTTTGTGTGTAAACTTCAACAGGTAAGGAAGAGGGTCAACGATAGCATCAACGTTGACACGCCCAAACTAGGTAGCCACAAACCACCACAACAACAAAGACAAATTTCGCCAAGTGTCGTGCACTTACCTGGTCATAAATATCTTGTATTTCGATTTCACACTTCTTCAGGTCATCCAGAGCCATGTTAAGCATTTCGTTATCACCCGTCTTGGTGAAATCTAAAAAGATAAAAGAAAATATGGACACTAGACAATTAGCGTGGCAATACCCCCTATTCTCTCGCTCTCGTCTGTCATTATTTGATGCAGAAGACGACGCTCAGTTCATGCATGAATTTATAATTAACTCTACACCGCAACTAACAAAAATGTTAATTAAGTAGGTCTTTCAATAAACCACGAAATTTTTGAAGAGAGGGTGTGGTTGAAGCCAACAATTTGACATGTCTTCAAGGTAGAAACTCCCAACCTTGGCAGTTTCTAGGTGGTTACATGCTCTGTATTACACTGTCACTGTTGTTCCTTCTCAAGGTGCATCAGTTAACGATCCTTACTGAGTGAGGGCACGGATATTTACTATACACTTTCTTAGCCTCACTGTCTTTTGGTCTAGCTTACACAGCTATTAGCATAAATATAAAGTTCTTTGGTTCACGCGACTTTCTTTGTTTCAATGTAAATGCGCTGAACATCACGCCAACTTTCAATCTTGAAGCAATGAAATGTCACAGATAACTGATGACTGTGCAAGAAAAGAATAAGTCAGTGTTCGTTGTCTGCACTGTTTGCTCCTTTTGAAAGAGATGTTTCAATTTGCCCTACAAGTTACTTTTCAATGTGATCAGTTTCAGTAAGCGACGAATCTGCTGTTTCCTTCCCTATAACAGTGCTACTTTTACTGAATGTGGGTTTAAATGATGAGTAAATATCAGGGGCTATTTGTCCTATAACACTCTGGGTAAGCGCTGCACATCATCATTTTTCCTTAAACAGTTTTGTCAGCATGCTCCAGTAGCGGGCAGCAGATAGCACTGGATCCTACGTGATATTTGTATTTTCTTTTTTTTTTAATTTGTGTTCACTCCCACTTATAACGAATTGTTTATTGAGCAATGAACCTATACCCAGTACTAACGTTCTCCATTACAATCACTAATCAATGCCTCACAGTTTTAATTTTCCAAAGTTTATGCAAAGCAAATTTGGTGCCGAGAAGGGGGGGAGGGGGCATGACAGTTTGACTTTTCATTGGGGTGGCTATACTCTCTGAAACGCTGAGAGTTTATAAAAAAAGTTTTAGAGAATGAGAATTCTTGCGGAAGTCGTATCGCATCCGAAGCAATGTACACGTTACTGCATGAACAAAGCATGAAATGTGGCAGACAGGAGAAGCTGGGTTTTCGCTTTGGATAGCCATACTAGTTGGCAATATTCATGCTGTTGTATATGATACACCAGTTGTGGTGGGGAAACTGGGGCCCAAATTCACAATTTTTTTTTGTAAATGCATTTTCTCATTGGTCAGCCGGCTTCGCCAATGATATGTCCCGACTCGCGATTGGCTAAAACGTCCTCTTACGAAAATATTTTGAGTAAGATGTTCTTGTGCATAGAAGGAACAGGGACCCGTCCGACATCAAGTTTCTCGACCGCAGACAGTTCTCTTTCAAACCATGCGCGATCGCGATACACAAGTGTGACACGATTTTAATTGAATTTCTCTATCGTGATTGGCTCGTTCACGCAAGCAGCACAAGGGGGCCATCAGCTACGAATAAAGATGATCCCGATCAGCCTTAATCGATCAGCAGCACGTTAAGTGAGATGGAAGTGGAAATGCTGTAGGCCCGTGTGCTCAGATTTCGGTGCACGTTAAAGAACCCCAGGTGGTCAAAATTTCAGGATACCTCCACTACGGCGTCTCTCATAATCGTATGGTGGTTTTGGGACGTTAAACCCCACATATCAATCAATCAAGCACGTTAAGCGACACTGGGTGGGGGCGCTTCTATCATCACCGAAAGAGCTCTAAGACGCTGTACATTTCGCGATAGCCCCACTGCGACATTTTTAACGCATTTAGGCTCTGTTCGAACGTTTCGGGAATGATGACTAGAGATGAGCGAGCATGAGGGAACCTTTTTCCAAGTCTTTGAGCCCATCGACTTCTTTTCTGAGAGTGTTGACTTTCTCGAAGAGGCGCACGATAGCCGACAACCGCGCCACCTTGTCGTTCAGCTCCTTGGTCCTCTTGGCGTCCAACGAGCGACGCTGGAGTTCCGTCTCCACATCCTTGAGTTCCTTGGCCACCACCTGAAAATACTTCAGCAGAAGCTTGGCATCCACGGCTACGCTGTCCTTTTCGGTAAGGGTCGCAAAGTAGCGACGGTCCGGCAACGCGACCGCGGAGCGTGACCACAAGTAAGCGGTTTGTAGCGTACCGCGCCGATTGCAGCGCCTGACTGCTACCGCTGTTTGCAAAGTCCTGCATGGCTCAGTCTTGCGAAGCGGTTGCCTAAGGAATATTCGTTGTCTGGAGAAGACGCTCAAGCCGCTTACAACGGCCCGTCGTTTGGTCAAGGAGGCGGCCATCTTGGGAGGTCACGTGGTGCAAACAAGCAGTTACCCCCCCCCCCCCCCCCCAACGGTGAGTTACCCCGTAGAGACGCATGTTCTATCACGAAGTGGTATTTTTTCAACAAAATTTGTTTTCTTTATTTAGGCCAATAATAATTTTAAAATGTCTTAAAAAAACATTGCAAGTATTAAATACAGTAATTGTAATAAAACTTTAAACCCAACTTCGCCAGTCAGGGGGTGTAGCTCAGTGGTAGAGCGTTCGCTTTGCATGTGAAAGGCCCCGGGTTCGATCCCCGGCACCTCCACGATGTTTTTGCTTTCTAGCGCCACTGTTCTTTTTCTTCGTATATAAAATTATCCTCAAAGAGGCATATTAACGCAGATTAGCTATTTGCAATGAAGACACGCGCTCAAACAGCCGCCGAAAGGCGCGAGCTCGAGCTAATTGAAACAATGACGATGTGCCTCGTTTTTACGGTGATTGGGATGTTTATTTTATTTAGTAATAGAGCGCACTCTTCACTATGAAGTAGGTGCTGGGCCTGCTGGCCAGGCAAGTCTGTCGCGCGTAATTGTAAACCGGTGCCACCTTCCGTTTTTTAGTGACCTAGCAACGTACTCCTTACCATCTCGGAACTGTAACGGGTACTGTATTTATGTTTCCGCTTCCTGTATTTTACCGTTTCCTGTACTGTATTTACGTTACAGGCAAATTCCTTCACGACGACTGTGTTTAGAAAAAAAAAAAAGAGTGAATGATAAAGAGGGGGGCAAAGCATCCGTCCGTCCGTTCGTTCTTGCTTCCGTCCGTCCATGCGTACGTCCGTGTGACCGTCCGTGCGTCCATCCGCCCGTCCGTGCGATCCGCACGTCCATCCGTGCGTCCATCCCTGCGTCAATCCGCCCCTGCTGCAATCCATGCGTCCGTCCATGCGTGTGTGTCATCTGTGTGTCCGTTCGTCCATATATTCAACATTCCAAGTACGACCATCTCGCATCTATTCATCATATATTCCCCATATAGAAGCACTGTTATCCAGCGGACATTCCAAGGGCTAAACGAGAGGTGGCACACGCACACTTTCTTACGGCTTGCGCTTCGCGTCTACTTCCCACCTTTAACCACCTCGAGTTCATGGTATATACTAGTTCACTGTATTCATGGCACTGCGGCCCAACGCTCGCTAAACCTTTCTAAAACCAAGGAGGTTACGCCCAGCGAGTACGGTAGCAACCCTTTCTTGTCAGATAGTGATCAACGTACATGTCAATGGCTGCTAAAGCGGAATGAGAGACAGGAGAATTCAACTTTTACTTTCTTGTGGCCTACGCTTCGTATCTACTTCCCACCTTTAACCACCTCGAGTTCATGGTATATACTAGTTCACTGTATTCATGGCACTGCGGCTCAACGCTCGCTAAACTTTTTTAAAACCAAGGAGGTTACACCCAGCGAGTATAACGTAGCAACCCTTTCTTGTCAGATAGGGCTCAATGTACATGCCAATGGCTGCTAATAGGGAATGAGAAACAGAAGAATTCGGCTTTTAGTTAGCGCGCACGCTGCGAATTTTTTATTTGTTCAACAACGCACAGGAGAAATCTCCCACCGACACCACCTTGCAGGTCAAAACGTAAGACTGGTCACGTACTACGACTACTACGAGGAACGAACGGGTGCCGTTTTAAGGAGCTTCGCCCCTAAAAAGTGCTTAATGATTTAGAGTGCTTAGTACTCCACTATGGGAGGGCATAATGCCGTCCCGTTGTCTGTGTATTTAGAAAAAAAAAAAAACTGGCGTATGACTTAGAGTATTTTGTACTCTATTATGGAAGTGCACTAGGCCGTCCCGTGAGCATTGACGTTTATATAAAGAATCCCGGCATATCTACCAAGCGGATGTGCTTAGAAAAAGTGGTTAACGATTTAGAGTACTCGGTACTCTACTATGGGAGAGCTGAAAGCCGTCCCCAAAGCGAAATCGGGGGGGGGGGGGGGGGGGGGGGGTTAGATAAGGGGGTAACGATTTAGAGCACAGGGTACTCTACTATGGGAGAGCTTAAAGCCGTCCCCAGGATATTACAACGAAAGACTAGATGGGAGTACAACAGCTACTGCTGAAAAGGGGGGGGGGGGGGGTTAGAAAGAGGGGGTAACGATTTAGAGCACAAGGTACTCTACTATGGGAGAGCATAAAGCCATCCCAACTCAAGCAATCAATCAAGCAATCTCGATAGTGCTGATCCGCAAAAGGTTGGATTCACTTTTGTGACGGGAAGTAACATAGGCGCAGTTTAAAACGGCGATTCCATTATGAAGACACATGTTGGCGACGCTGGTTTTGTTAACGAAAAACGTTGACTCCCTGCGCAATTTCCGCAAAGATTTCGACATCGCTCTCCGTCAAACGTAATTTTTCAAGTAGGGACGTCAGACTTTTAATTATTATTGCGCGCAATATTTGCGTTAGCAGCGAAAAAAGTATTTGTGGTGGAAACGGAAACCCACGACTTTCTCGCGCAGGGTGAGACGCATGCAGTTCTGGGGCGTCGCTTGCGTTGTTCTTTGTATTTTGATTTTGGAGGTGAAGCTCCCTACGCCGTGGGTCGTTCGTCCGCGATGTATGTAGTAGTAGTAGTAGTAGTAGTAGTAGTAGTAGTAGTAGTAGTAGTAGTAGTAGTAGTAGTAGTAGTAGTAGTAGTAGTAGTAGTAGTAGGTAGCCACCTCCACTGCCGGACTAGTGGAGCGGCACGTGCACACCCTTTTCAATTGAGGAGGAAACCCCGCGCACGTTAATCATAAATAAAAAAAGATAGTTGTTTCTGATGCAGTAACTTACAGAGACAAGTATTGGTGACTTAACCTCCAACAACATTTTTCTTGAGTTTGGTGCTCACTAAAAAAAAAATCTAGTATCACAAGGACGCATTTTGAGCGCTATCTAACCAGAAAGGGTTGCCACGTTAAACTCGCTGGGCATGCCCCGCCACGGTGGTCTAGTGGCTATAGGGTACTCGGCTACTGACCCGCAGGTCGCGGAATCAAATCCCGGCTGTGGCGGCTGCATTTCCGATGGAGGCGGCAATGTTGTAGGCCCGTGTACTCAGATTTGGGTGCACGTTAAAGAACTCCAGGTGGTCAAAATTTCCGGAGCCATCCACTACGGCGTCTCTCATAATCATATGGTGGTTTTGGGACGTTAAACCCCACAAATCAATCAATCAAACCCGCTGGACATAACCTCCTTGGTTTTAGCAAGGTTTAGCGAGGGTTGGGCCGCAGTGCCATGAATATAGTGAACTAGTATATAGCCATGAACTAGAGGTGGTTAAAGGTGAGAAGTAGACCCGAAGCGCAAGCCGTAAAAAAGTGTGCGAGTGCCACCTCTCGTTTAGTCCTTGGAATGTCCGCTGGATGGCGGTGTTTTCTATATGCGGAATATACGATGAAAAGATGCGGGACGGTGGTGGAAAAGACTTTGCTTATTATCAAGGCCAACCTTGGAATTGAAATAAGAAACGGTACTCTAAGAATACATTTTCTGATAAACGTCACTCAGACGAAATTCTGCGAGATTGAAAATTCTTTCTCGTGACCGCATATAATGTTGTCTCCAATATATTCTATCAACTCACTGTTTCCAACGCAATAGAACAGCGCCGTTTTTATTCCAGTACATGTAAAATGATCCCCCAGAATCACTAGGAAGTTCGGCGGAAAATGACCCGCATGTTAATTAGTACTGGCAATATAGTAACACAATCTGCTTTGGCAACAGTGGTAAGGTAACAATCGTCGGTGATGAGTTGGGCCTACACCTGCCGCACGCGTACCGTTCCGTCCTCAATATTCGTGAATTTTCTTGAATTAAATAAGCATGTTCCTTTCTTAGATATCCGCCTTTTCCACGGTGTGCCCTTCTCCTAGCGCATGTCACTAAACGACAAAGCACTCTGGACAGCGCTGTAAAATAAAAAAAGGTGAACTGAACTATGCTTGAGTCCGATTGCCAATTGTTTCCAAACGCACGATGGGGGGGGGGGGGGGGGGGGGTGGGGTAGTCGACAGTGATAGGTGGGCAAACAGGGGAGGGGGCGTTTATTGACATAATAGGAAGGCGTTTGTTTGTTAGGACTCGGAGGACGGGGGGAGGCGCAAAGTCAGCCTCATACAATGACGTAATAGGAAGGGGGACGCTAGGACAAATCCCCCCCTCTGACTGGGAAAGCTACGCATGCTGTCTATTCAGAGTATAGCATGCAGCGGTACACTCACATCTGTTGACGTTCATTTGCCTTTCTTTGAACAAAAAAGGAAAGGAAAAAGAATAACTTCATAGCGTATACGCTACGTACGTATACCTTTAACAGCTATAGGAGCCGAAACTTTGACCAAGACATGTCGAACGCTTTTATTCGATCCGCGTCATGCATGGTTGTGCACGAGAGCACGGGCAGGTACACCAAACTCAACTTAGTATGCATTGTAAACAAAATAAGGGATTTCACGAGTTTGAGGAGCCTCGAATAACGGATACCATCAGTAGTACTATGACGCCGCCGAGGGCGGCAAAGTTGAAGTACGACGCGTAGACGTGAAGCCTGGCCGTCACGCTAGGCCTTGTGATTACCAGTCTGACCGTTGCCACCAGGGAGGAGCCGTCGTAGCAGCTGGATTGGACAAGAGAAGAAAGGAAGAGACCGGGATGAGCTCGCGATTATCTGCGTCTATGCCGAATTCTGCTGCGGCAAAATACGGCGCTTTCAGAGCGCGCTGCGAGAATGCGTGCACAATAAAATCTGCGAATGTGACGCCGGTGTATGGGCTTTACATTGACGCCACACATAAAGCAATATAATGATAGATGGATTTCGTCGATACACAGAAGAATCAACGTATAGCATTATGCTATGGAGCCTCAATTTTCAGAAAGCGCTGCAAGCAAGTACGACATTTTCATCGTACCGTGGATATTGAGGTTGAGGGGGCCAGCGGTATCGACCACAGGCGT